TAGCAGAGATAAGCATCCTTTAAAGTTTAAACCGAGGATATTACAGTGGTGACAGCGGACTTGCCTCCGCTAGTATTACAAAAGCTATGGAGATGTATGAGAGAGAAATGGGTTTCCGAAAAGTACATAGGGCTCGTGAAGAATATGTATGAGGGAGCATACACCAAAGTAAGGACTGCTGTAGGATTGATCGAAAGTTTTCCAGTGACAGTTGTTTTGCATCAAGGCTCTTCACCGGGGTGACTACAGTCTCAAAAAACTTTCAAGAACAAAGACTGCAAAGGTTTGGTCATATCAGACGTAGAGATGAGGTAGAAGAGTTGATGGAAGAAGAGGTAGAGGAAAGCCGAGGAGAAGATGGAAGGACTGTGTAGCAGAGGACTTGAGAGAGAAAGCTTTGGGTGAAGAAGACCGATGAGTGAGAGTGAGAATAAGTGGCGACGAAGAGTAAGTAACAGCAACCCCTGAAAAAAGAAAAGCCGAAGAAGAAGTAGCTCATAGTACAAGGAAGTCATTAAATGCTAGTTGCCTACTAGCCAACTATCCAAGATGGCTCCTCAGAGAAACGGTCGTGTTTACGACTCGGTAGTTAAGTGCTGTAAAAAGTGCTTAAAAGTTGCACAAAGTGGTCTGTTATGTGCAAAATGTGGAACGTTATCACATAGTGGCTGCCTGAAGCAATTAAAATGTATTAAATATATCGACGAAGAAACAGTTATATGCTGTGATGAAAGTGTTAGGTTAAGTGATCCATCAAACGAAATCTTGGATAAAGAGGCTGACGATGAGGATCCGAGGATAACTGAAATCAGGTGCTTAAAGAAAATTATTAATCAGAATGATATTGTAATAAAAATCAACAAATAACGATAAATTTACTAAAAGAACAACTAGATTTATTTAAATATATGAAATTAACTGACCAGTCGCCATCTACTCAACAAAATATGAATTTAATAAACAATTCTAACAGAAACCTCAATTTTGAACGACCGATACAGTCTAGCAGTAAAGAATACCCAAAAAACAAAAAAACTACACCCGCAAAAAATATTGCTGTTAATGAAAGTCTAGCTGTTGATAAAGAAAGGAGTTCCCCAACAAAAACTGTCTTTAAAAATGTTACCAATAAAAATAAACAATTGTTTCTTTAATCGAGAATAATAAACAATTATCAGCTGATATTTTAAAAATACAAACGGAAGCAAAATGTTCAGATATTATTAATTTAACAAACGATGAAAATTTGATAAATATTGAGAATAAAAATTCAGCTACAAATAATAGTGGGCAAGAATGGAAAATGGTTAGACACAAAAAAAGGAATGGACGTTTTGTCATAGGTAATAATGTGAACTCAGAAATCAGTGGTGTCCCAAAATTTACCCATCTCCATGTTACTAGAGTAGACCAACATACAACGGCAGAAAATCTTAAGAAGATGTTAGAAAAACACTTTCCAGAAGTAATATGTACGTCGTTAACGGCTAAGCATCCCAACATATATTCATCTTTTAAAGTTTCAATTTTTGAACAAAATTTCGGTAAAGCGATGGATCCAAAACTATGGCCAGTAGGCTCTTATGTAAGTAGGTTTTTTATGAAGCGCTCAACACATACGCAAATAAAGTGAAGTATGAAGAATTGACTTTTAAACAGGAAAAAAGAAGGGATGAGTACGATCTCCTGCTGTCAAATGTTCAGGGACTAAATCAATTTAAAATGGATTGTTTATTTGCTGATTATAAGGAGTCTGATTTGAAATTTCTTTGTATGACTGAGACGTGGGCAGCAAATGACGAGGTGATGCATTATAATTTTCCAAATTTTAAAATTGTAAATTCTTTTAGTAGATCCCAATATAAATGTGGTGGCGTTGCAGTTTGGGCAAGGGATGATATGAAGGTTAATTCCATTTTACTCGATCAGTACTGTGTTGAAAAAGACATTGAGGTATGTGGGCTGAAGTGGCATTATAATTCAAATCAGCACACAATTTTAGTTTGCTACAGATCTCCTAAAGGTAAATTTGATGTATTTTATGAAAAACTTAACCTTATTTTAAATTCAAATTTTAAACCAAATCAATTCATATTTTTAACAGGCGATTTTAATGTAAATTCCATGACACTAAATAATTCACACAGATTTTCTGGTCTTCTAGCATCTTATGGTTTGTCACCCAGGAACTTTACACCTACAAGGTCGACTTCCACATGTGGAAATATTTTGGATCAGGTATATACAAATTGTGATGATTGTGTAGGTACTGTAAATGTAAATACTGAATCGGATCACGATATATTCCTTTTAAGATTGAATTTTATTAATCTAACTATGACAACAGTTCGAAATACTTTCAGAGTAACACATGAAGGCGCTATAGATGCATTCAACAATCTCTTGAGTAAAGACATGCAGATGTTTATCATGCAACTGATGTTGAGAGTAAATATAATGCCTTTCATGATAAATTACAGTTCTATTTCAATATTAGTTGTCCTATTAGAGAAACCAAACATTACCAAAACAAAAAAAATACATGGGTCACCCAAGAAGTAAAATCTTCTTCAGATAGTCTGAAGGATTTGTATATATTGAGTAAGACTTACCCTGAGCTAAAAACTCTACATAGACAAAAAAAATATCAGCACAAAGTTCTTGTTGAGGCCACAAAGAGTCAATTTTATTTTAACAAAATCTCTAAATCCTCTAACAAAAACAAAACCACATGGGCTGTTATAAATGAACTTAATGGAAAACAAAAAAATCACAAAAATATCTGTCTAAAAATAGATGATACTAGGATTACAGATTCAGATATAATATCAAACAAATTTAATGATTACTTTATAGATGCACCAGTGGATATAATTAGTAAAATAATTAAACCAAATTTAAATTTTCAGCATTCCAATGATTTTGTTCAAACTAGTTTGTTCCTATCTTATGTAACAGAGGAAGATGTCTTAGATATAATAAAATATAAAATTAAAAACAAAGCATCGTGTGGTTTTGATGAAATATCAGGTATAGTAATTAAGAAAATTGCGTCTCAAATTTTGACACCACTGACTCACATTATAAATGCTTCTTTCAATACTGGTGTTTTTCCCAATATGCTGAAAACTTCTATCATTTCACCGGTATTAAAACAAGGTGATCCTGAATTAATGTCAAATTTTCGACCATTGTCTGTTCCATCTGTGATATCTAAGATTATTGAATATGCAATGCTAAAACAACTTTTATTATTTTTAGATATCAACCAAATTATCACAAAGCATCAACATGGATTTCGAAATAAATTTTCTACTTCCACAGCCATTAACAGTTTTTATGATGAAGTCTTACTCTCAATTGAGAACAGTGAAAATCCAACTGCCATTTTTTGTGATCTCAGTCGTGCATTTGATTGTGTGCAACACGATGTGCTCCTCGATAGATTGTACAGATATGGTGTTAGGGGAGTTGCCCATAGTTGGTTTGTTTCCTATCTGAAAGACCGGCACCAAATAGTTAAAGTGAAAAATAACTTCAAGATTTCAATGTCTGATCCGATTATTAATAAGAATGGAGTACCACAGGGCTCAATATTGGGCCCTATATTATTTATTTTGTATATTAATGAACTACCACATGTAATGCCTGATGCATTTGTATCAGTTTATGCGGATGACTCAACAATGCTATATCGCGATAAAGACATAAATTTTTTACAAGATAAAATAACAAACTCTCTGAAGACCTTCTCTGATTGGTCCAGTAATCAGTCGCTCCTGTTCAATGTTCACAAAACTAAATTTTTATCATTTACATCACGTTCAAATTCAACCAAACCTGATTTAAGTATTTCCATCAATGGTGAGGATATTTTGAGTTGTAGTGATGTGAAGTTTTTAGGAGTGACTTTCGACTCTCATTTATCTTTTAAGACTCATTGTTGGAATGTATGTAAAAAACTCAATTCTAAATGTTATCAATTGAGAAATTTGGGTAGAATACTTAGTCTGCAACACCTTCGTCTTTTTTATTTTGCTGAGGTACAATCGACAATAAGTTACGGTATAACTGTCTGGGGTGGTTCTTCTAGTGTAAAGGACGTTTTCAAGGCCCAAAAACGTATTGTCAGATGTATAGCAGGTGTTCCGTATGGTTGGTCTTGTAAAAACCTATTTAGAGATTTGAATATATTAACAGTGTATGGAATTTACATTTTGGAATTATTGATACTAATTCATAAAAATAAAAGAACTTTTTTATGTAACAGTGATATTCACTCACACAACACAAGAAATAAGAGACAGTTTGTAGTACCCTATCGACATTTAGAAATAAGCAGGAAGTCATCTACTATCTGTGGTTTACAACTGTATAATCAACTTCCTCAAAATTTTAAAAACATTAATTCAACTACAGCTTTTAAAAACCAAGTCAAAGAGTACCTAGTGACCATGTGTCCTTATACATTAGGTGAATATTACGAGGGTGTATCTGTGAATGCCTAAGCTGCAACATAACCAAATTTATTAATATTTTAATTATATGTCTATATTGTACGTTTTTTTAAGTATTTTAATGTCTTAAATATTTTTAATGTATTGTTTTCATTTTTTGTAATATTTAATATTTATAATTTTAGTTTTGACTTGCTGTAAACCTAGTTGTAACTTACAGTCAAATAAACTATCTATCTATCTATCTATCTACTTTTTCCATCAAAAATTAATACGGCACGATTTGGAAACAAAATTTGTCCCCCTAGATGACCCGAACTAATACCATGAGATATTTTATATATATATATATATATATATATATATATATATATATATTATACATATATATATATATATATATATATACTGTTTAATATAATAAATAAATACGTAAATTAATTTGAAATTGTTTTAATACAAAGTTAATTTGAACTTTGTCACTGGATTTTACTGCAAAAAAACTACAAAATAAAAAAAAAATGAATTATTAAAATAACTTACAATTCGGATTATTGTCCATATCTTCCACAGCCATATTGATCTGAATCTCCGTATTACTCCTGTTGCCATCATCATTGAGAACGGAATCCGAGCCCACGTACTTCTCGTGCCTCTGATGGGTCTTGATGTGGCTCTTAAGACTGTGCTGAGTGGAGAAAGCCCTGTTGCAATCAGTGTTCTCTTTGCAAGCGTACGGCTTTTCTCCGGTGTGTATCCGCATGTGGGTTTTTAGGTGATGACTGGCAGTGAAGGCTTTACCGCAACCAGCGGCATTGCACCTGAAAAACGGTAACGGTATTTAGTTTTTCTACAGAAGGGAGCTCTAGAAAAATCAGCAACACGCACTTATGACTTATTCGACGCCTATATCGATCTCACTACTTTTCTGTACGTAGTCTTTTCATCAGCATTCTCTATATTTTTGTCAGTTCCTATTTTATCAAGCAGTGTGATCTTTCACGGACTCTGTTTTGTACCGATACATTGTTTTGCGGTCTTATAGGCTGTAGTTAGGAATTATTTCGTTTTAAAGTTTCCCCTACATGTACAATAAGTATTATTAAAGCAACAGTAGGAGCTACCTTCAGTTTTTGTTAGGTCTACCGTAGTTGCAGACGAAATTTCAAGAAGAAATAATTTCAGACGAAAACCTATAAGTCCAAAAACAATGTAGCATTACGATTTAAATTGTATTCTCTTTATTTATCAATATTCCCATCCAAGCTTGCCTGATTGTTCCGAAAGATTATCTGGTGCTACCCTAAAAAGTAGGTATCTTCATTTGTTACTCATTTCTAAAAAAATTCCTTACATATTAGCAACAATTCCAATTCTTTGAAGCTTATAAGTCTTATAAAAATTCAATTCAACAAGTTGACGATCCTTGATGATGATCTCATGGACCAAAAAACCGCTTTATGTTCTTAAGAGTGTCTGAACGAATAGAGTGAGTTTTAAATTGTCGAAATTCCAGCTCAAATAATTAGTGAAGCCTCATACTGCTCAACCATAGTTGGAGCAAATCTTTCACCTCTTCAGTGGAAATATCTCTATCCGGACGGGTCTCCTTGATTTTAAACCATTTTAGTTTTATCATACACTGAAGTCTTTCATGTATAAACTCAACAGCTATTTGGTGACGGTCTCCTACCACCTCACTACACTACACCTGTGGTGAATTGTAGTAGTCAAGTTATCTGAGGCCTCGGGGGACTTAAGACTCGTACAGGTTCTGATGAATATACTGTATGAACTGATTTAAAATACAGCTTTAGGGCCCCAACGAGCTATTTTCATCTTTAAAACTAAACTCTAGATTGGTGGAAAATGAGCATGATGACACATCTGTTTGACTCAGACGTTATAGTAACAGCACACCGGTAAATCGTAAACCAGTTAATTAGCTAACATTATTTTAAGTCCTAAGCAAGAAGTGTTATGCTTAAAGCCGAATAAGCACCCCAACGAAACCTCCTGCATTGCAAAAAGCACTACTCATTTACTTCTTCAGTTACTTTACTAACACCCAAAATTGTTCATTTGGGTTCCCTCTGCACATCCAACTCCATTCCTTCTTTCTCAACACCATCTTCTGGCCAGCTAGAAGCTCCCAGGCATTGATTATTTAATTCTTCAGTGCCTATATACTCTAAATATATCATTTTAAGTCTCCTACTCACTCAACAATAGATTTAGCATGCTAGAAACTTAGATCCTTTGTCTATTTACTTCTTCCACCGCTAACACCACAATTCTTCATTTCGGTACCTCTCTGATCATCCAATCATCGTTCATTCGTGGTGTCCCGTCAGTTCCGTCCTAGAAGCAACTTCGTTGATCTACTACTATGACTTTTAGGTGCTAACTTTACATTATTTAAAAGCAAAATCGATCAAACATTGCAAGCACAAATGAATATAAAGCTACAACTGTATCATATCACAAAAAGCGTAAGAGAAAAATAAAAAAATGTCTAAATACTAAAAAAAAAACAATTTCACAGCGACTTTCTTTTTAACAAATATTTTTATGTAGATTTTAACATGGCCCATAACAATAAAACGAAATTTTTTAACAAAAATTATAAATAGCATTACTATCTATTATTTGAAAGAGTTGTTCATATTTAAAAAGGTGTTCATAATAAAAAAAAGGTTTACCAAAGTTACATGAACAAAAAAACCATTTCAGAAATAAAGTACACCATGAAATGCAAATATAAATTTGTGAGATATGCAAAAGAAAGATTGTATCATAAATACATTGGGTACGGGGTTTTTATTATCGTAAATTATCATGTACCTTTGGTCGGTACTCGCTCCTGGAATAGCTGACATTCTGAGATAGTATTCGAAAAGTTTTCAGATTCACACAGTATTAAAGCATTTCTCAACACACACAAACACACAAAACCTGACGCTTAAGAATAAACAAAGAAAGAAAGATGACTGAATTCTAGGACTGGTTGAAATGTCTAGGACAACATCTCAACGGAGCTCAGTGTCGTTGGCACGTGGACGTATAAATAAGGTTGGCACCATTGTTTACATGTGATAAACAACAGATTTGTGGCAAATTTCGTGTTAAAGTAGGTAAATTTTGTACGGAAACCTTTCAAACATTGAAGGAGCTGTTAGGAGATGAATTCTTGAGCTGCTGATGATGCAGGGTGATGCAGGTAATTTAAATCAGGGCAGACATCTTCAGCAGACCAGCACGTTCAGGACAAGCATCGACTTGAAATAATCTGAATATATTAAAAGAATGAACAGTCTCGAACTGTCAAATCGTCGTCTAACCATTCAGGAGATGATCGTGGAATGCAACATTTCATTTTATTCTAAAAACTGAACGTGCATCGTGTCAACAAAGTTTGTTCCAATGTCTTAAACCGAGAAACAAAAAAAACTCACCAAATTCGTTTTTAAAAAACTTCTTGAATTGGCAAATGGTGATGAAAACTTTTTGAAACGCATTGTCAATTAGGAAGACAATTGGGTTTGCGACTAAGGTGCTTAAGAAGGGACCAATAAAAAAAAACACGACAGGAGAAATAGAATTCAGTTACACTCAGTTTTTATTTGAGCCTAAATTGCAGCCTTTGATCAACCCTACCGTTAGGCGGTTATCGAAATACTTGGAAGAGGTATTATAACATTGAAGGATCAAGAACGCAAAAGCCTAAAATTAATCTGCAAAGGGGACTGTGATGTGTCCCAGAAATCGCAGTTCAAATAAAATTTTGATAGTGATGCGGACAGTGATACGAACATCTTTCAAAGCTACTTTGTTCCTGTAAAATTAGTATGTAGGCAAAAACATTAAAAAGGCTTTATGGGAAAACCCAACACCCTCGTCTCCTAGGTTTTGTCGGTCAATAAGGTTTAGGTTCGTTAAAGAGACCAATGATATTACGCAAGAAGAAATCGATCATGTCAATACTTCTATCAACTCTCTCGTTGCATTTGACTTATGTGGCCAACAATTTAGAGTCAAACATGAATTGATAATGACAACCGTGGACGGAAGGGTTTGCAATGCTGCCACAGGAACTACCTCGACAAGTCGATGTTACATTTGCGGTGCAACTTCAAAAGACTTTAACAATTTAGACATAGCAAAATATGTTGATGGTGGGGAAATTCAAATTGGACTCTCTGTATTGCATGCCAGGATACCACTAATTGAAAGTATTCTGCATTTGGCGTAAAAATTGCCAGTGAAAAAATATAGGTCAAGAAAAACAGAAGCTGAAAAACAATTGGAAAAAGAAAAGAAACAAGAAATCCAGTAAAGGTTCCGTAAAGAAACTGGATTGCTTGTGGACATGCCAAAGGCAAATTTGGGTAACACAGATAACGGAAACACAAGTCGAAGATTTTTCGAGGATCCCAAAATTGCATCAGAAATTACAGGTATTAGTTACGAATTAATATACACGTTAAAAATAGTTTTGGAGACTATTTCAAGCGGCCACAAAATTGATCATGAACAATATGACAGTTAAGCAAAAGAAACTGCTCGTTTATACATTGATTTCTACCCATGGCATCCCATGACACCTACATTGCACAAAATACTCGTGCATGGTGCAATCATTATCAAAAATACATTATTGCCAATTCAGCAGCTCACCGAAGAAACCAAAAAAGCCGCAGAAGGGCGTAACAAGCATTTCCGGTCTTATCGCCAAGATTTTGCACGGAAATTTTCAAGAGAAAGCTGTAATAGAGAAATTTTTAATCGTTTACTTTTGAGTTCTGACATTTTGATGAGTTGTAGGAGGCCAATAAGAAAAATAAATAAAAGTAGTTTTCTATCTGATGAAGAAAATTTGTCTTTTGATAAGTGTTTCATAATACTAAGAAAAAAATAATTTTGGCCACCTGGATCATTCTAATACCCCTATGTGCGCCGTCATTCCTTATATTGTTATGTATAATTGATATAATCTACTGATACAACACTATATTTAAAAGCGACGTCATCTTGTGACGAATATTGAGAAGATGATGACTTATTCTGGTTGATATTACGACACCTGCAGTTATGGCTTCAAAATTTTAAATATGAACAGCCCGTTCAAAAATACGGTACGATTTTGATTATATATGTAAACATTACTACCACTTACTTGAGAAAAGACATTTTTCTCTAATCCCCTTTAGTGAAAACACCTTAAAAGTAAAGTTAAACTATCAACGACTGTATCATCTAACTATCATTAAATGTATGTCATGATATGAATGGTGTAGAACTTCCCATAGTCCAAATAGTATAAAGATACCAGCTTTCGCTTTTGATTGTATTCAATTAAAATTAGAAGTATTTTCTTAACAAGGATTTACTGTTAGTCATACAATTAATACTTTTAAATCAACTTTGCATCATAACTCCAGAAAATCAGCAATTATTCTTAAAAATAATTGTTAATCACTGCTACTTTATCATAAGGGTTTGGGTTATCTCTTTATTATACTTTTAAACATTCTAGCCACAAATTCTTGCGGTAATTGTATCAGCTATTTAATACTTTTAATTATATGATAATGAACTAAGTTTTTGAACTTCGAACTAAGTGATTCAGCTGTTTTGTATTTATAAATACGCTGATATAGGCCAAATTAAATTACTTCTACAATATTCAGAGCTAGTGATGCCTCTAGGTTATCCCTTCAGTTTATGAATTATTGTCACTTTCAAAAATAAGTCACATATATCTGTGTTTCTTCAAGTCACTGAATTCTAGCCCCTTATATTGGTCCTTCGAGCCGGAATGGACCATATGTGACATATGTCAAGATGAAAAACACAGTTAATACCTCCTAATTTGCGCTTGACTCTGATTTTTCTTTTTGTTTGTTCATGCACTATATGTTTAGCTTTCACGGCTTGACACAGCTCAGCCTCTAATAAAGACAAAGAAAACAATTAAATTTACTAAATGTAATCACCTAGTGATTCTATTATTGCAATGTCTATACCATTTGTGGTTTAACTTTGGCCTTATGTAAAGCCTAAAATCCAGACGCTATGACTACCAAGCACGTCAGTATGAGTAATCCCTCTCAGATACCCTCTTGATCAGACATTGTAACTAAACCATCTCCATGCTAAGCAGACAAAAAATAAACACTATTTTGAGGCAAAATTGCAACAAGAATGAGGTTTCCTCAGGACAAAGATGAAACTAGATCGTTAGCAGCGAGTAGCTTTGTTTCTCTTCTCGTCTTCAAATGTTGAAAGTTACATTTTATGTCAAAGGTAACGTTTTACGTCATATTTCACGCCAAATGTCACATTTCACGTTAAAGTTACGCTATGTTTGACGCTAATCTGCTGCAGGCGTGACATGGACTCTATGCTAACTTGACGCTGAAACTTTCAAAAATGTGACGTGAAAGATGGCATTTCAAGTAAAATTCGACATAGGAAGTGCAGTTGTCAAAACACTAACTATAAAAAAGCTTACTTTTGTCGACACACGGGGTCCAGAGTGATCCATTTATAATTCGTAAAATACATAGACAAAGCAAACTAAAATTCAAATGCTCGAAGTGACAGAAAAACAAAAATGTCGCAGAAGTGTATCGGAATTTGTTTCCCCTTTGTATGTATGTTTTGTCTTGTTACCTGAAGCTCTTGGAAATGAAGTTCTTGGCTCCTTCAAATTGTAACAGTAATCGCTAGAACTGTCTCCTACCCCTAGATCGTAAGTTGTAAAATCTAGAGCCCCAGTTGCTTTCTACTTAATTAGAACCTATCAATAATGAATAAAATATTATTTTACTTTGTGAAAAATTTGTTTAAATAGATGATGGGCTCTCATATGGGTTTTTTTCCACAATGTAATTTTAGTGTATTTTAGTGACACTTTGGACAGGATTCGAACTTGTACAGGCATCAATCTCAAGTACATCTCCTTAACTGCTGCTGCACCGCATTTTGACATAAGATGGTTTAAAATATACAATATCTGTTTTTTTTTCCAGTTTCGCTCTAACCCGAAGTAAAAACTTGGATTCATACGTTTTCCCCACATAACTTTTAATGGTAAATGTTTTTCTGTTGCACATTTATCTGTGCTAATCGTTGAACGTTAGACGGACCGGGCAAAACTAAAGTATTGATTGTTTAAATGTTTATTTCGATTCAATAACTAGATTAGACGCATTAATACAGAGTTATTGCAAAGCGATTAGAGCAAGTATTGTATTATTCCAGCATATTTGCACACAAGAAAGTTCTACAGCAAATGAAATCAATGAGTAAGCGCTTTTCATGTTGATTAGTAATGTACACTAAAATGTACCATCCGAAAAACACTTACTTATAAGGTTTTTCTCTTGTATGGGTTCTAATATGTTTTTTAAGGTCACTGAGAGTAGTAAAAAATTTATTACATCCATCTGACTCACAATTGAATGTTTTACCATTGTGTAAGCGTTCGTGGGCCCTCAATCTATATCTGGTATTGAAGGCTTTGTCGCATCCGGTTTCAGCGCATTCGAACGGTTTCACTTTCGTGTGGACCCTGATGTGAATTTTTAAACTGTACGAGGTGAGGAAGGCCTTTCCGCAGCTCGGTTCCGTGCACTTGAATCTATATTCGCCTAAAAACAAATCAATAATTATATTTTTTATTGGATACATCGTGCAAACATAGCAGGTATGTCTGTAGTAATCGCTAGCTAATAAGAATCAACGCCGCGCATTTTAAATATGTCCAATATTGCCGAGCAGGATGTCATAGTCGGTGTCAAGTCAACACCTGTCTGATTGGATCGGTGACGAAAATAATGATCTACACTCGTTCTTCTTAGCTAGCGGATACTACATCTACCACAGTTCATAAACTGAAAGTGGGCAGAAAATTTCAAACATGTATATGAAAGCAGCCAAAAAAAACTTATATTTTTTGAAAATAAAACAAGGAATATTATAAAAGGAGACAGAAATGTTAAAGAGATGAAAATAAAATTTTGAAGACTTACTAATTGGTAAAGACCAACTTGAAGGTCCTCAAATTCTGCTTCATCTTATTCACGAAGTAGTTGAGAAAATGAACATTAAAATAAACTTAAATAAAACCAAATATTTAGTCGCTAGTCGTAACCCACATGCACTAGACCAGTGTCGAAGCCTTTAAAAAAGGTAAAAAGTCAAAAAAAAATTATAGTAGAATGAAACCTATTGTAAAAAGAAGAGAATATTCTAAAATAGGAAGTAATAAATAAATTACACTCCATCCGTGGTCGGGAAGTGAGGAGTGGGGGTTTAAGGGTAAAAATCGGTTTATCGCTATTTTCGGCGAAACTACAAGTGCTTTAGCAAAGTTGTAGGTAACAAAAAGATCTACAACTTTTGTATTTACACTTTTTTCACATAACCTCAATATTTTTTGTGAAAAATTCAAAAACTAAAACTAAGTTTTTGATTTTTTTATTTTTATGTTTAAAAATAAAAATTTTTTTTTACGAAATTTGTGAAAACTTGCCTTAGTATGTATCAAATACACTGTAATTTTTTGGGAATTGAAAAATTTATTTTTGTACCTGATATTGATTTATTATCGAAAAAGCACCCTAATTTTAAATCGAAAATTCACGCGTCAAAATATCAGCTTTTTTAAAAAAGTCGTTGGACTTTTTGTTCGTTGAAATCTCTACTTTCCGATAGTGTAAACAAAATATACATTACTATGGGAAATGTTCACTTCTTCTTCTTAACGTGCCCTATCAAGTCCCCTTGACGTTGGCGATTAACATGGCGAAACTGTCTCTGTCTCGAGCTATTCTAAATAGTTGCTCAGCTTTCTTTATTCCTGTCCACTCCCTGATATTCTTCAACCAAGAGGCCTGCTTTCTACCAATTCCCCTGCGTCCTTCGATTTTACCCATCATAATAAGTTGAAGAATATTATATCGGTCTCCCCTTACTACGTGTCCAAAATAGGTCATCTTTCTACATCACACAAAAAACAGATACTCTTGAAGTGATAATATAATAGCAGAGATGCTATAGTATGGTCGAAAATTGTTAATGAATGAAATCACTACCAGAAAATTGGAATGAAATTAAATCCATTAAATGGAAAATAAGTTGAAAAGATAATAAGCGAATATCAAGACGAATTTAAACGAAGGTGAATCACAACGAACCAAGTATTTGTAATCAGAGAAATACATGCAGAAACCTATAAACACGACAAGTCGAACGATAGCAGTATTCATCGTCTTTAAGCAAGCATACGACAGGATAAAAAAGAATAAATTAATAGTGGCGCTGGAGGAATTGAGAATTAAAAAATACAGTTTATACCTAGAAAAAGTAATGCAGAAGCAAAAATCAATAGAGAAATTCTCCTATACAAGAGGAATACACCAAGATTTGGTATTCGCGGACGATGAGGTTTTGCTGACAAGAGGAATAAAAGAACTACAGAAGAGAGTACAGAGGCTGAAACGCAGTACTTTCGAGTATTATTATTATATTCGAGAAGAATGAGAAGAGATTATTTTATGAGGTGAAATTTTTTTAAATCCATTAAAAAATTTCGGATAGAAAACAGAAAAATTTATTATTTAGATGAAACGTGGGTAAGTGCAGGATATACAAAATCTCATGTGTGGGTCGACGAAATATGTAAAATACAAAGAGGTGTCAGACAGGGTTGTATACTATCCCCACTGTTATTTAATTTATATTCAGATAGAATATTTAAAGAAGCGCTGCATAATTTGGAATGGGGCGTGAAAGTTAATGAATTCTGATAAATACAATCAGATATGCAACGATACAGTTATTTTAAGTGATGACATGAATGGACTACAATGCCTTTTAAATGCCATTGATACAGTGAAAGAGAATTTGGCCTAAACATAAACTGTTCAAAAACAAAACAATTGGTGTTTAACCATTTAACACGTCAAGATGCACGATTATATGTGATGGTCTATAATTCAAAGAGTGTCCAATTTTAAATTATCTTGGTTGCCATATTACTGAACACGTAAATCCAGTATCAAGAGATAAAATGTAGAATCGAATGGCCCGCACGACATTTTTAAAAATTGAGGTCATTCTTCTGTAATATAACTTGCAACTTCAACTTCGAAACGCGCATGGTTAAATGCTAACATTGGTCAGTCCTCTTATACGGTGTCGAAGCATGGACATTAAATATATCCACCATTAATCGTCTGAGGCCTTGAAATGTGCTGCTACAGACGTATTACTAAAAATTCTCATGGACGGCTATGCTGACAAATGCGGCAGTCCTTGAGAGAGCAAATGCTGCTCGCGAGCTGCTTGATAACATCAAATCTAGAAAGATGGCCTATTTTGGACACGTATAAGGGGAGACCGATATTAATATTCTTCAACTTATTTAATGATGGGTAAAATCGAAGGACTCAGAGGAATTGGTAGGAAAGCAGGCCTCTTGGTTGAAGAATATCAGGGAGTGGACAGAATAAAGAAAGCTGAGCAACTATTTAGAATAGCTCGAGACAGAGACAGTTTCGCCATGTTAATCGCCAACGTCAAGGGGACTTGATAGGGCACGTTAAGAAGGGTCGACGAAACGGTGAAATCTTTCAGGCTCTTATCGTATCTCTCAACAGGTCTCAAAAATCCATCTGGTAATGGAAAAAGATTATACACATATTCTGCGTGAAAACAGGTTTTGTAGAAGGTTGCCTATGGATGTTTAAATCAAAAAATAGTGGGACTATCACTAAGAAATGAATTCCGACGACTTTGTAAAGTGGTTTGCAAATATGTTGCCCCTTTTAGAAGACAACTGTGTAATAGTTCTCGAAATGCTCTTTCCATTCGGGAAAAGTGAGAAAGTACCTACTACAGCATGTAACAAAGCAAAATAAAAAGACTGGTTACGACCAAAAAATATCGACTTCGATGAGGAATTTTGGAGCCTTTGCCTACCATTGTGCAGCAATCAATCCCACGTTGAATATTAAGTTTCGACTGCCTATTAATAAGCATCAAGGAGTTTGACAAGTGCTCTCTCCACTTGCGATTTATAGTCGCGCGACTGTTTAGTCGCAAAGACTGAACATATTGATTCAAATACAAGTCAATCCATTTGAGACTAAATAATCACAGCGATTGAGAAAACGCTACAATTAATCATATGGACCAGCATTGACATGCATCCACTTACGAGTGTTTAGTCGCAATTCTGCAGACCATCTAAGCCTGGCGTAAATATATATATATATAGTATATATATATAAATATATATATATATATATGGCCTTGGAGACAAATTCGTTAAACTTCCCTGTCTCGAATTGGCATCACTAAAGTGTTATGATCATGTCGCCTATCCCACCATCGTCGGACACTTGGGCTGATACAAATCTCAATTCGGAAAGTAAAACGAATGTCTCCCAAATCTTTACTACCGTGTAGTTAGCTTAAAATAGGTCCCCCTACTTTGAAGCCCGTGAACGAAACGATAGAATAATCGTTTTCTGTATCCTTTATGCGCTAAAGTACAGTTGATATTGTAATGTTTGTATGTTCTGTTTTCCCACATACCATCACTTTGTTTTACTTTCATTATTTCTCAGATTGCGTTCTCAAGTTTATCTCTCCATATTTGGAGGTTTACTCTTAAGTGCTCCTCTTCTTCCAAATACACGAGTCATCTGCAAAGTCACTCCCAATCTGTACCATTTCCAGGTGTCTATGTCCAACAAATAATCTCGAGTTTCTCTCTATTTCCTCATTAATCATCTAGTACACTATGAACAGATGGCCTAGTACACCTCCGTGTCGTAACCATCATTGACTCTAAATTCTTCTGATTCCATATTATCTGTTCTTACCCTTTTCTTGTGTCTTCTGTATAGGCTCATAATAGCTTTTCTGAGGTTTGCCGTCTACTCTCTGTTTCTGTTTTTGAAAGCTTTTTCAATGCTTTTTTCGAGGTCTATGATGGCTTGGTATAGGTTGCGTGCTTGTATTTCGTGCATTTTTAGTAATGCGTGAGTGTGAAAAATATGGTCATGATGCTTCTTCCCTCCTGAAACCGCTCTGTGACTGCTCCAGCTTATGGCTACTTCTTGTAGTATCTTTTCCCAGTACTCGCGTAATAAACTTTGGAAGGATACACCAGAGAGTTAACCTCTGTAGTTGCTGCATCTCGCTGTCACCTTTTTGAAAATTGTAAATAACGCCCTCTTCCCAGTCTTTGGGATCTGTTTCTCATTCCATGCTTTATTGCAAACTTTTCTAAGCATGTTCATTGTCCATTTTCTCCATATTTTTTAGCATTTCCGCAGTTATCATAGCCTGCGACTGTCCCTGCTTTTGTGCCTGAGTATATTCTCGTTGTGTCTTCTATTGTTATGTTCGTTTGATTGGGGTTCTCAATTTTTTCTCTTCAGGTTGTCTATGTCATTATGTAAGTCTCTTTGTCAGAAGGTCTTCGAAAATTCTCTCCACCCGTTCATAATACTTTCGTCTCGCAATGAGGGCCATCCTTTGATTTTAATTGTTTTGTTGTGTTGTGCTGTCTCTGTTCTAGCTTCCAGATTTGTAAAATAGTTTTGGTTTATGTGGTGTCTTTTTCCAGCTTATTCCCAAAATCCTCCCACTCGTCTTTTTTGCTTCAGTCACCATATCTTTTACTTTTGCCCTGTTTGCTTATATTTTTGAATAGCTTTCTGCATTCTGGTTCCCTAGATATTTTTTCCACGCTAGCTTCTGGATTTGACCTCTCTTTTTATTTCATTACTGCACCATTTCGTACATTGTCTGTTTTTATTGATTTACTATTCCGCAATTTGCTTTCCCCTATTCTAGAGAGGATTCTTTTAGTTTTTGCCAGTTCTTATTTCATAGTTCTGTTTAAGTGCTTTTGTAGACTATGTGTTCACATAGCTTTTGTATTTCTGTCTATTTCTATCTGCTAATCTCTAACCTATGTGAACTGCGTGGTAGGGTTCTTGAGTCGTCTCGTTTGTCTTGTACCTTCTGCGTGCGTTTTTGTTTCTCACTCCGTGACTTGTTCGGAGATCTACCAAGAATGGTCGCTATATATTTTCTGCTCCCCTTCTGACTCTGACTATCTTGATACACTGTCTATGGGTCCTGTTTACCAAATACTTATCAATAATGACTTTTCTCCTCTATCTCTTGACGTCTTTGCTGTATATTTGTCACATCTGTGTGGGATAAGATTAGGTATTCCTTAAGTAGCCCAGGGTTAGTCCCTCTCTACATTAGTCCTATATTTCTGTTGACTCTTTGAGTGTTTGCCTACTTGTTCTCGACCCGCCCGTGTTGGTCCTAGTACTTCCGAGGATTCTGGTCTGTGGTCTTATACTGCCTACTCGACCTTGAAGATCGCCAATGATGAATTATGCGACCTTTCTGCGCTATCTATGAGCTCCTGTCCGCCCTTCCCCCATATAAATGGCCTGGTGGTCGGGCTTCGTGTCAGTGAGCGGTTGGCCGTATCATTTAACTAGTGATTTAGTTTTCAATTTTTTTAAACGTCTGACAACGAAAAGGGGGTTGTCGGGAGGCTGTGGTAAGTACGTCGATTCAGAGCAGTTGAATTCATCAAAACTACATTTTGGGCATACAGTAGTATTTGAAAAAAAATGTCAGGTGCGTACAAATTAAATCTTTTGATAACATCTATTACTCTCCTTTAAATATAATTAATTGAGTTGGGGTAACGAAAAATATCTAATAACGTCGGCGTCGTCGTGTACGCTTGTTCGTGAGCCGATCCAAAAAAGCGATCACACATGCATTCGTCGATCTTCCCCATTGGAAAACTGATGTAATTTCAACGTTTTGTGGTCCCTGCGTGTTATAATCGCTCGGTGGAGGCTAGCGTATCATAGTGTCGTCTTGTTTACATGTCCGCCGTTAGTGACGCATTTTACTTATTATACTTAAAGCATGTTTCTGACACAAATTCGTCAGAATGACTTACGAACCTTTTGTGTGTTTTCCAGTTGCGGTCTTAAGTTGCCGACTAGACTATAGGTCCCTCACTTGCCATCTGTAACTCGCAGTGAAACCTATTGATCGTCGTCTCCTTGGTCTCCGGATTGGTCGAGTGATTTGTCACGGTGGCAGCGAGGGCTCGTTCGGCGCATTTTGGTTGGAAGAGCCGGTTTGTTCTGCATACTGTTCTCCGTCCAAGGACACTGTATGTTGTGACTAAACTGAATAATCTAGGTGTACAATGGGATAGTGCCTAAAGGTATTGTGTATCTAAATATTGGTTTGTAGTTTCCCTGAGAAGTGGTTGTCTTTCCATGGATTTACGGAAAAAACTTTGTTATATCAGTTTGATATTGTTTGTAAACATGGTTAACAATAGCTGGTAAAAATTGACGGTCCCTATTGTAAGTGAGAAATAGATGGGGTTGCAGGATAAGATAAAAATGACAGATAAGTGTAAGGTAGATACATTTGTCTTAAATCGGTTGGTGTAGTATATATTTCGAAGGTACCAAGAAGAATGTCTTTTCGAACCTATGGTACTCCAAAAGCTTTTATTAAATAAAAAGATGTAGTGGAAAGAGAATAGATATGTCTATATAGGAAACAGTATATGCAACCCTATCCCTAAGAAGACTCACAGAAGTACAAAGAGAAAAACAGAGAATAAAACGAAAGAAGGCATAAGAATAATAAGTGAATTATGGGAAAGAAACATGTGCACAATTTGAACAATACAGGAGGAAGGTATAAGAATTCGAATTCCTGGAAAATACGGGATATTTTTTGAAGAAAATAGGGACGACAAAAAGAGTCCATATTACAAGACATTTCCAGAAAAAGATGGGAAGACTACTATAAAGAACTTTACTCACAGATAATCGCCCAGATTTTCCATAGATGAACAACAAACAAATTCAGATGAAGAACAGATGTGAGATTACATTAATCGAAGTAAAAGATGCCATATAGACTTTATAGGAACATTAAATCGGGGGACGACTAGGAGGTATGCGTTATCGAACTAAGTGATGTACGGAACGGACAAAGCTACTCAAATTATACATCGAAATGTTCAGTCACGCCATAAACCTTGAACGAATTACCAGATGAATGGTCCAAAGCTTATATACGACTCGATACATGATAAGGAAGTATGAAATTATGCCAAAAAGTAAGGCTGGAACGACCAGAGGCACCAGTTGTGATAGCATTATGGCAGGTATAGGAAAAATACGTGAAAGAAAAACTGAACAAATCTATCTCAAAATTAAATCAGAGATCATGCGGGGTTCACTGCAGGAAGATCTTGAATAGACCGACATGATACTTCAAGGTAGTGTTTTATAAGTGGTCGTGCTAGACGAACTAGTGCAATAGAACTCTATTTCACAAACATCGTTGAAACTAGTTTCAGTGAACTAGTTCGCGGGAAAGAACTATTGGTAGGACCGACATCGAAATCCAACCCTAACAGAACTGGTTGCCAGATGTCTCGTCTCAATCTACACACAACTCTGCGCTGGCCCCTCGTTGTACTTCGTTTTCAGTCATCTTCACTAGTTCACTATACCGTACAAGTAGTAACGAACTATTTCTTTCTTTCGAGTCATTATGTTTTACGTTTAAGGTGTAAGATAGAATGATTAGTATACATTAATTAGTTATTTTTATTTCGCAAAAAAATTTATTAAGAGTTGTTTTTTTATTAACCGTTTTATAAATATACTATATGGTGTCAAAATCTGAATTATGGTTGAGATTTATCGTAGTTGTTAAACTCATAGGTAGGTGTTAGAATTTGAGGATTTATTTCTAAAATGAACCTTTACAAAAAAAATCAGTGAATGTTCTAGGAACAGTAAATAACACAGGTTTCAGTCATATTTCATTCGCACTTGTACATAAAATTAGATTGTATGTAGAAGGCCTCAATCAGTTTAATCCAAACTAATATTTTTATTTCAAAAATGACAAGACAAGGAACATCACCGCATTGGCAACATCCAAGCCCAGTTACATGGGCGTAGAAGTGAATCTGTTATCTGAGCCTCAATCGACAGTTTTTCGGTTAAACTAGTTCGTTCCATTCCTGTCACAAAAATAGTAAATTAGACTAATATTGTGTTGCTAATTCAGTAATTCAGTCCATCGTAACAGGCCCTAAATCACAGCAACTGATATGAGTTTCATGGAGAAGAAGCTGAAGAGTGACAAAACACATTTCGCATCTGAAATGAGGAGATCATACGAAGAATGGCAGTAAATAACACATACTCATTTCGTACATCTAGAAAAAACTTTGAATTTGGTATGAGACTGGTGAAAGAAACAGATCAGTACAAGGTGGATAGCAAAGATTGTTGATTGAGTCCAACAGGTAGGAGTAAAAAAGGAGACCCCGAAGATACGACGAGGATGAAGTGACGAGGCCCATGGAAAGACGAGAACCTTAGAGAATGGAGAATGGCAGAACAGAAAGACACGGAGACGTCTGGCTGAAAGAAAGGAAGTGCGGCGACAACTGTAAAAACTCTTGATAGATAGATAGTTTTTAATCCATTGGAAAATACCATTTGTTGCCTACATTTGTACATATTACAGTTTATATAAGGTGACATTTTATTTTTGTTTGGAACTTGGCATTATCCTTTCTCCTCTTCCTTAAATAAGATCTTTCTCCTGTAGTTGCATAAACAGTCGATTTTGGCATCTTCGTTAAAAAGCATATTTTCGCAATTATCTCTGATTTAGAAACAATTTTCACTAAACGTATTCTCGTGACTACAAGCCCAATACCAAATTCACCAAAAATTTTTAAATCAACTGTTACTGTACATATTCTTTGTAAATGATGTGTGTGTTCCCTGCTGCGGGAGTGGTGTTAAGGGCGAACTGGGGGTAGGAAGAGGTAAACTTTTTTGCAAGTTTGTGCCCAAAATTGGGCCCCAAATTGACATCTCGCAGTAAAATTGCAGCGTATTCGTATGATATGTTTGAGGTCTATTCTCGGATCTATTACGTTATCCAATTCTTTCTGCAGATCATTAACTTTAATACCAACTTTCTGCAAATAATATTGAAGTAACCCAAAATAACTAAATGGTAAGAGCAAATGTTGGGTATAACTAGATAGAGATTATGGGGGTGTTACCCAATAAGTAGATAGTGAGAGAGAGGACTAAGAGTGAACAGGATTTTCAGTAGAAAAAAATTGCACAACAGCCAACTGGAGATGGGCTGGACAGATAGCCCGTTTAAATAATAAGAGGTGACCCAAAAGACTCAGTAGAATGGAGACCTAGAGTAGACAAAAGATTACCGAGGCAGACCCCACCATTAAGATGGATCGACGTCCTTGAGAAAAACGATCGAAAATTGGATACAGAAGGCGCAAGATAGAGATACAGTGGAAGAACATGGAGGAGACCTATATCCAACAGTGGATGCAAGAGTTGAGAATGAATCTCGGACGACCGATTCTAATTTAGGAATTTTTTATTCTATAAGAATTGGTCTGGTACAGTTTTCAATCATGATTCCTCAATGAGAATATCTTCCTTCGATTTTGGTTCTACGAAAATATAACTTGGCTCCTTGCGAAGGATAATTAGGGTCTGTAATCAATTATCATTATCTACATAAATACAAAAAACAAAACTCAAGGTAATATCACTTGTGGTTGAAACAGAAACAAATATTATAAATACGTATAAAAATAAAGATAAGGATACAATTCCCATGTTATTCTGATAAAAAAATCTGTATAAATCTTTTCGTTTTGTCAAGATGTTTTATCTACATAACTGAATCGTTTCGCGACTCTTTAAAAATAAATAATGAAGGGTTGAAACCGATGGTTCCGTCATATAACAGTGGAGATCTCAAGTATTCAGTAAATCAATGGGGAAAATGAAAAAATATGTTGCAAAAAACGGTTTATAAATTCTACGAATATCTTCAGGCGTACTCAGGATATTTCAAATAGTGGAGTTCACGCCAGTAGTCTTAGTAACTAACAAAGACAGATGTATTCGCTTTTTGTGTAAACGTAAGTAAATTTAGAACGAGGTTACTCAATAACACAGTTTATCCAGTGCTCGAATCAGAGTCATACAGTAAACTTTTTATCAGGTGCATAAGGTATTTTGTGACCCTATAGAACTCCATTATGAAGCCCATAGTAAAAAACAACTAATGAATGAGTCATATATGCACACCTCCGAAAGATTATTGAGTATAGAATGTGTTGATACACCACTCACTGAAAAGATGGAATCTAGATAGTTCTAGACATTGTAAATCATTATAAAATAAGTCTGTTTAAAGATAAATATACAAATGACATACCAAGTCATGCCTCATGCCGACCTTATTGTCCAAAATTCTTAAAGTCGTTGAAATCATATCTATCAAAGACACTTACTAACTGGCTAAATCAGATTAGATCTATTGGAATTACTTTGACAATATGACATAGGCTATTAGCATATCTTATTGTTATTATAAGGAAACTTACACAAAGTGAGAAATTGAGCAATTTAAGAATATCCTATAAAAAACATTAAAACAAATAATTGCTTTCAAAACACATTTCTTGATATTTCTATCCTGGTCCTTAATTCTGTTGTTTTGATCAGTATTTTCTGAAATGCAGGTTCCCAGGTATTTTGTATGTATTTTTCAACTCTTTCTATTGGTACATCTCCCAAATGTATGTTTATTTGTATGTTTGATTTCTTTGTTATTATTATGTATTTAGTCTTTTTTATATTCATTTTTAGTCTGTTATCTTCACAATAATGGTTTGTCTTGGTTAGTAGTAGTTGGAGTTGTTCAGCAGAGGAAGAATTTATTTTTTAGCATTCATTAATCAATTACTGATTTTATCTCTAATACATTGTCTTACATGTGGATTCCTTAATTTACTTTTGTATCGATATGTACATTTATTGTTCTTCATTTTATTATTTTCATTTTAAGTCTAATTTTGGTCGCTACTGGGTTGAGATCTGATTCCATGCCGGCACTAAGATATGTTTTGCTAAATGTAAATGTAATATACAAAATCCTTTCTGGCATTATCTACACTAGATTGTCAGAATACTCCGAAAATATAATTGGTGATTATCAAAATGGATTCAGACCATATAGGCCACTACATACTCATACATACAAGAGAAAACATATGAATATGACACATAACTCTATAATAGACTTTAAATAAGTTTTTAATAGTGTGAAAAGAGACAAAATGCTAGAAGACCTCTGAAATCTAGGTATAACAAAAAAAATATATCAGCCTCTTAAAAATAACGTTGCAGAGTTCAAAAGCCGCAGTTAGAGTAGATGGAGAACTTTCTCCCTTGTTTGGCATCACATATGGGTGAGACAGGGAAACGCACTTTCAACCTAGTTCTTGAAGCAGTCATTAAAAAAAAAACAATGTAACAGGCCATACAATCATAAATCATCAAAACAGTACAAATTACTGAATATGCAGACAATGTAACCATTATTAGTAGAAGCAAGATACAACTAATGGAAACGTTCAAGGAAATTGATCCTGAAGCACAAAAAGAAGGCTTAAAATATATGAAACAAAAACTAAGTGTATGACCATCAAAAGAACACCTGAAAATGAAAATAATATAGCAATAGACAAATATACTATTGAATGTGTGGATGCCTTCATATATCTGGGTACAGAAATCAATCAGAAGAATTCCATAAGTATCGAAATTAATGCACATGTTTCCAGTGGAAATTGTACATACTATGATAATAAAATATTGATGACATCGAAATTATTAGACAAAAGAACCAAAATGACTATCTACAGAAGTTTGATAAGACCTGTAGTAAGATATGGTTGTGAAACCTGGGTAATGACGGAAAAAGAGATCAATTGATCTATTTTCATGAGATAATTTGGAGTTGAGTTATTATTATATAACTATATTCAGTCTTTTCATTTCCTTAACTGCATTATGCACTTTTCCAGCTTGATGTAGACTTCTTAAATACAATCTTTAACAATGGTGCAGTATTGTTAATAGATTTGCACAATGTTTTCAGAATATTTGGAAATCAAATAACAATAAAAGGTAAATGTACTTTTACTAAATTAGGGATTTGGTCAAATTTTGTAGAAATCTAGTTTATTACCATTTTTTGTGAATCAAGTGGTAAAGTAAGTAAGTACAGAACAATTAGCATTCTGTCTTGTCTACCCAAATTCTAGACAGCTTTTATTATTAGTTTTAGAGAACCTTATTATTAGTATTATTTGTACATAAATTATGCAATTTCAGGATAAATTGTAATGATCTGCTATATCTAATTGATTTTAGTGTACCTCCTAGATTCACTATAGTGTATTTTTATGTATGAGAGAGTAATAAAACAATAAATTATGTATGCAAATCCCTAAACTGTTGATACGGGTGACTCAATGAAAAACAGATATTTGTCAACAAGTTTACAGAAGTATATAGGAAAACAATTTTAAATTGAGTATGACCACCAGGTATAAAGGTTGGAGCAGAATAGAATACAATAGTTGTGAGGGTTACTAATCCCTAAATAAGGTTGCCAGTGTCGAGTGATGGAGGTTAACAGGTACTAATGAATTTGCAAGAAATGTAAGATGTTTATTTTATTGGTTATATATAACCAATAAAAGTTTAATAAGTACCTACCTATTTGCAAAATAAAGTTTAATTCTTTAGATAAAATAAAACGTTTTATTTTATCTGAAATGAGTGCATTCCACGAAGTAAGGGTTTCAACAATCAAACATTTAATTCTTTAATTCCAGGAATCTACGACAGTAATTGACTAGATAATTACCTTCTAAACTTATTCCACAGAAAATGTGATAGTGGGTTTTTCCATTTTGTAGGAAGGTCCAAGTGGCGTATTCAAAATTCTTAACAGTTCACTAAAAGTAGGTACTTCAGTTGCAAGGTGCAGTTTATTGTGTATACTAGTGTTATGGAAAATTTGGAAGTGCCGTGTAAACGCCGAAAAATTGGTCCTTTAACAGTTAATGAAAAAACATTAATATTTAATTGTTTTAAATCATTTACAGACAAACGTTTATGTGAAAGTGTTGATGAGACCGTTGAGTTAGTTAGCAGTACACTTGGTGTTGGGAAATCTACGATTTACAGAGTTATTAAAGAAGAGAAATGTGGTAGTTTTCAAATGCCACGTAATGCTCCAGGGAAACCAAAATTTCAAATAGAATATCATTTTAAAGAAGGACTTCGACGGAAAGTGCATGAATTCTTCTTTAGACAAGAATTTCCAACATTGGATAAAGTTCTTGTCTCAGTTCGAGATGATAAGGATTACCCAGAAATGAGTCGAAGTACGTTATGGAAACTTTAAAAGAAATAGGCTTCCGCTGGAAAAAGAATCCCAGAAAGTCTATTTTATTAGAAAGAAGCGATATTGTCATATGGAGAAGACATTTTCTAAGAACCATAAAGGAAATGAGAAACCAAAAAAGAAAAATATTTTATCTTGATGAAACATGGATCAACGAGGGTCATACACCAAATAAATTTTGGCAGGATGAAACTGTTACAAGTCAAAGGCACGCTTTTGTAAATAACTTATCTACTGGTTTAAACCCACCATCAGAAAGGGACGCAGGCTGATAATAGTACACATTGGCAGTTCAGACGGTTTTGTTGAAGGTGGTTTATTAACTTTTGAATCAACTCGTACCGGTGACTACCATGAAGACATGAACGCTGATGTCTTTCAAGAATGGTTCGAACAAATGATAGATCTTCTTCCTAAGAACTGTGTAATAGTAATGGATAATGCAAGTTATCACTCCAGACTTATAGAAGGACTGCCCACAACCAAGTGGTTAAAAAAAGACTTGCAGAATTGGCTGAGTTCAAAAAATATTACGTACCATCCCGGATCTATAAGAAAGGAACTTTATTCGTTGTGTGCCCTTCATAAAGAAAAATTTAAAAAATACGAAATTGATGAAATTGCCAAAAATCGTGGAATGACAGTACTTAGATCCCCACCATATCATTGTGAATTAAACCCGATTGAACTGGTATGGGCACAGATAAAGAGTGAAGTTTCAAGAAAAAATACCACTTTTAAAATTCATGATGTTAAACAGTTGTTTTTGGAGGCCGTAAATAATGTAAAACCTGAAAACTGGGAAAAGGCAGTAAATCACACTATTAAAGAAGAGGAAAAAATGTGGAAGCTGGACAATATTACTGATAAAATGATCGAGCCAGTTATTATAAATCTTGGTTCTGAAAGTTCATCTTCTGAATCTGATTTGGATTTGTAACAAGTAGCTGTAAGTTTTATATTAATATTTTTATTCATCTATTTAACATACCTTAGACGGTTTTAAAAACTCTTTTTCTCTTTTGTAATTTTTAAAAATTAAAAAAAATGTGAATTTTTTAAAACCCTTTTTAATGTAGGCCAGTCAGTTCTAATATAGTGTGTGATAAAAGAGGTCACTTTTGTTTACATACACATAACACTTTATAACACTGAAATAATTCATTTATTTTTTACAATTATTCAAAGTAATTTTTCAATTAATCTTGAGCACGCCCATGGAGTGGTCGAGTACCAGTTAAAATTATGCTAATTACTCTCTCGTTCATAAAAATAAACTATAATTATCTTAAAATATTCCAATCAAGTTTCAACAAAATGGAATAAATAGACCCTAATTTATTAGTATGTACTTCTGAAAAAGTCTGTTGACAACATACAAATCAACTATTATAATATTGGTGATTTCTTATTATATTTTTTGTATTATTACCTTTTCCAAAACCTGAAAGGACAAAAGGATATAAAAAGAAGAAAAAGAAGTATTGTTACTATAATATTTTGTATATTAGGTACAGTTTATTTGCCAATGTGATACTATTATTTTTTTCTTGTGTAATGTATTTATATTTGTAATATTTTATATATAATATATAATATGCCCAAAAAGCTTTTGACTACAAAGTTCAATGTAAAAAAACATAGTTTAACTCATACAAAACCATCAATGACCAAGGGAATTGAATGGAAATGGAATATGTCCCTTAAAAATAATTAATTGCCAGAAATTATATAGTATCAGTCCAAATATTGTGAAAACTATCATAATAAACTGCCTAAGATATATGAGGATAGATGACACTGATCCTGCTAAAATAACCATGCTAAATAGGCCTGTCAGAAGAAGAAGAAGGGGGTGACTTAAACTCAGATATCTGGATGTTGTGGAACAGGATTTAAGGGTGGTTGAAATAAGGGAATGGAGAAGACAGACATTCAACAAGGAAGTATGAAAAAATGCTTTGAGCCAGGCTAGGGCTCACGGAGGCTGCAGCATCAACTAATGATGATGATAGCATCAGTCCTTGTCTCTTTAATACAGTCTGCAACAGTATATAATACAAATACAAAATACAAACATATCAATGTTATCCACACAAAACAGCTTTAAATTATACCAAAACACTGCAAGTATACTGCAGGAACCAAAAAAGTGTGTAAAGATATATGGACATCCAGTGCGTGGATTAAGAAAAAGTTTTTGAAAAATAATACACATTTACCAAATCAAAAAACATGTCCAGGGCTTATTAAATTTCTAAGTCTGGCAGGAAGGATAGAATCTATGTGTCATGTTAACTCTACAAAAAGGGGGTATGTATATTACAACAGTTGATGCAATGAATGAATTCAAGAAGGATGATAGAATTGTCTCAATGGAAAGAGGAATGACAGATTTCAACATAAAATAAACATAGTCAAAAAATGTCTTGACATATATGAATATAATTCCTGAATAATGTACTATTACAAAGAACATAACAAAGAAAGAAAAATAATAAAATATACAATGGATATATGACATATTAAGGACAACACATCTGATGTTTTAGTTGAAAAATCCAGGATGATATAAAGTGAGACATTGAACAAACTAGAAGATTAATATTTGAATAAATAAAAGCCACAGGTTAGAAAATTGAACAATACTGCTACAGCTGTAGATGTCTTTAGGCAGTTATAAAATAAACTAGCTAAACAATTATTGACTTACCCATTTTCGTGGTTATCATTTTCCTTGTCTGTGTGCACATCAGAAATATCTGAATCTGAGTAGACATTATTGAATTTAAAATCTAAACTTTCAGCAAGACAGTCCTCGAGCTGTAAGTCATGTGTAAGTACAATATTATCAAATTGTTCAAGTTTAACTTGATTTTCCACTTTTCCTATCCAAGTTGCCATTATTATGAAATAAATGAGAGTTCTTTGACCAATCAATCTTCATTTCGATGACACAAAGATGTTAAAAAAAGAAATATGAACTAGAGAAAATTAAGGTAAACAACAAAAATCCATTTTTAGCTATTCTAAAAATAAATTCCGAATCAGAATCTATAGAAGTTCTGTTCAAAAAATACCACTGGTACAATTGTACTTCTCCACTTACACGCGTAATAAGTTTTTAAAAATTCGTCTACTAATTATCTATCTCTTTTTAGCTTACATATGTGGATGTTTTATTTGTTTAAATAATAATATTGTTTTCAAAGGAAACCTTTGACCCTTATTTTCCCGTATCACCCACCCATGTGACTGGATGGCTGGATGCCCATTCATAAACAACCTTTCCTTTTTAGTCGTGAATCGTGAATTTGTCCTATGACTGTTTAATATCCTATGATTTAAGTGACGTTCTGTGACTAATTACTTAAACATTTAAGTTTTTTCATTTTAACAGTTGTATTGTTCTTTTATCTTTAATTAAAGAAACAGAAAACATAGTATGAAGCTTCGCACTAGTATACAGTACCACTTTTTTTAATAAAATTTTATTATTACCTATAATTTAAGTATTTATAATGTAAATAGTTTGCTAAGTCCTCTCTTTTAATTGGCGAAAGGCATTATTAAGGAATTATAAAAGGTTGAGTAATAAAGCGTTTAAGCTCAAAGTATATTCGTCCCTTCGTGTATATGCGAAAACCTAAACATTTGCATCAACATTCGCATACAATTTTTCATCGTTAAAATAGTATAAGTAATAAATCTATTGGATAAATCTGTCTGAATTTTTTTGGACCTATTGATGACTGCCAAGTATAGTGAGTGAATAAAAATTAACAAAATAAAAATAATTTTACAGAATCTGACGTCATGGTTGGGTGTAAATTTACAGCTAACTTCATGAGACTTCAAAAAAATATTTGAAGTGACCGGATACTCTAAACCGGAAAAGGAGACACGTCACAATCACAAAGAAACGGTAGGGCGCAGCCATTTTGGTGTGTGGTGACGACGCGAATAGACGCCGGTTGCTCTTTTGATCCCAATTTAGAATTTATTCAAAGGTAAGCCTTAAATTCACTTATTTAATTTTATTAATTGATTGAGGAAGGTTAAAAGATTTTAGTATGACCGATATGGAAGACCGTACTAACAACGATCGTGGAAGGCGCGAAAAAAGACCACGGGAAGATAGCTTCAGGGACCGCAGCCGAGACCGGGGTAACGCCAGAGAGCAAAGGAGCGCTAAACCCTCCCAAACTAGAGTGTTTGTATCGAACATTCCCTACGAATATCGTTGGCAAGATGTGAAAGACATCTTCAGAAATGAGGTGGGTGATGTTTCCTTTGTGGAACTATTTTTCGATGATGCAAACAAATCTCGAGGAACCGGCATCGTCGAATTCGCTGATAAAAGTTCTGTTGACAAATGTCTGGAAAAAATGCAGCGATATGAAGTTAATGGTAGAAAGTTAGTTGTTAGGGATGATTCCGGCGTCACTAGGGACAGATCTGGAGCTATACTATCTGGCACTTCAAGAAGGCCTCCTGAGAGATCCTTTGGTGGTAGTGGCGGCGGTGGTGGCGGCGGAATTAGTTTCAGCAACAATAACTCTTTCAGCAGTAATAATGATGGAAACTGGGGCAACACCTATGGCTTGAGTCCTCAGTTCCTTGAATCCTTGAAAATTGACCCGCCCCTTGTTAATAGGGTTTTCATTGCTAATGTAAGTATAATATTCTTCAGTTAAAGTTTAACCCTACAATGCTCAATTTTTGATTGGAAAAAATTATATGTATAGCTATTTTATAAAGAAGTCTGAAAAAATACTTCAAACAATTTAAAGTTATAAGTGCGAACTACATTTAACACTTAATTTTTTACAATTTGGCTTTTTGCATGGGGTTCGATCGCTAGTGTAAATTGGCCAATGTCCTATATCTTTTGGAGGAATATAGCTTGTTGGCCCTTTATTTTTCTTCAATTGTATATCCTGTACAATAGATGGTCATCCTCACTCATTTTCTGCTGTATCTTCTGCCCCACTAGGCGCATCTTCAAATATCACTGGAATATTTTATATGTATATTTTCTAAACCTACATCATTATTCAGGTCTTCAATATTGCTTACATCACAATTATCTTCACTATCATCCCAATTGTACTATAACATGCAATTCTATCATAAAGGCCTCTTCATATGCCAGCTAGACATCTAAAATAATACCCAAATTACATTATGTATCATAAATGATACAAATTTTTTACCATACCTTTAAATGTAACAGTAGATGCTGTATAAAACTATTACTAGATGACTTGTGGATGTATAATAACTAGAAAACACAATTTTGTACATTTAATTTTCAATAATAACCATCTATAAAATTTTTTTAAAACTCAGTGTTATGGTCATCACAATGCTTAAGTGATAACTGATTAATTTGCACGTTTTATAAAATATTAAATGATGTTGCCAGGTTACAAAATGTGTATATACAGGGTGGTCCTTAAGATTTAAGCCAAATTGCCTTTATAAAATGTTGATGTTAAGAAAGATACAGTGGAAATTTAAAAATTAAATTTTCGCTATAACTTACATATTTGTGAACATTAATGTACAAAAATTCATAGCTGGGTACTATTGAACATCAGGAATTATAATTTGATGCATACTTTAATATAGCTGATAGAGCCGCTACATTATGTGGCATAGATTTGCACTTAACTTTTTTACTCTTTAGTTACCAGTGTTTGTGATAAAAAATATTAAAGATACATTATTTTAACAATAAAAGGTATACTTGTTATGAACTTCAAAACTCAACAGTTTTCGAGATAATCGCATTTTACAAATCAACTACCTACATAATTGTAGGCATTACTCCAGGCAATGTAAGAGAATTGGACAAAAAGATCAATACTTCTGAATGTTGGTATAAAATGTCTTTAAAAGTTTTAACGAAATATTAAATAAAATAATATCAGCAGGATAGTTAGTAGGATTTGACAAAATATCAGAATAATTGGATTTTACATAAAACATTTTACGTTTTGTATTACAGTCATAATAAAAATATTTTATTCACAAACCAAATTAAGAAAACTGCCCTCTCTCTATAAGGTGGTGGTATACCATCTTGCATAAACCACATATTTCACCTTAAGTTTGATGACAATTCTTCCCATAAAATAATTTCAATGATTTATTGGAAGAATTGTCCTTAAACTTAGCAAAATATGTGGTTTATGCAAGGGGGTACACCATCACATTATGGAGAGAGGCCAGTGAGAACATAATTAAATATAACTTTCCTGAACATTTGATTGTTCGTGGTAGTTATATTTATTGGTCATGTGGTGAGATATTAATATAGTTATTTAATGCATAATAATTCCAAAACTTGATTATTATATTATATTTATTATAATAGAATACTTATTATAAACACTGCAGCAGTTTCTTTGGGATCTTTTATGGAATGTATTGACAAATGAATTAAAGAAAATGGTGGACATATCAAACACTTACTTTGACAAAAAGTTTTTCTTAATTTAATTTATAAATAAAATATTTCAATTATGACTTTAATTTAATACAAAACGTAAAATGTTTATGTAAAATCCAATTATTCTGTTATTTTGTCAAATCCTACTGACTATCCTGCTGATATATTTATTTTATTTAATATTTCATTAACTATTAACTTATTAAAGGCATTTTATACCAATATTCGGAAGTATTGATCTTTTTGTCTAATTTTCTTACGTTGCCTGGAGTAATTGCATTAAATCAGAATTATGTGGTTGATTTGTAAAATGCGAATATCTCGAAAACTGTTTGGTTTTGAAGTTATTAACAAGTAACCTTTTTTTTGTTAAAATAATGTATCTTTAATATTTTTTATCACAAACACTCATAACTTAAAGAGTTACCAGTAGTTAAAAAAGTTAAGTGCAAGTGTATGTAGCATATATGGCGCCCTCTATCAGCTACATTAAAGTATGCATCAAATTATAATTCCTGATGTTTAATAGTACCCAGCCATGAATTTTTATACATAAATGTTCACAAATATGTAAGTTTTAGCGAAAATTAAATTTTCAAATTTCCACTTTAACACCCTGTATCTTTCTTAACCCTCTAACCGGTAAGTCGTCCCTGAGGATGACATTACATTAATTCAAATAATTTAATAAGTAACATGTTGTGTCGATCAAACTGTTTAGACGTCTTTTAGTATGTTTCAAAGTAATACATTGTTGACCGTTTGAAAATTGTACGATGAGCCATTCAAAATTTATTACCAGTCGAGTAAGACCAATAAGTGAGTAGACACGTATTTATTATTGCTCCGTATTATGAACAAATAAACAATTGTAACAGATATTTCTAAGTATCGGATTACACTAGGAATTTTTGTAGTAAGTATATAAATACATATATTTTCCTAATTTATTGTTCAATATTGTGCAATGTGTAGTTTGTTCTCTGTATTTGTTATATTGTATTGTCATCCTCAGGGATGACAAAACGGTTTACGTGAATGTTTTTTTTTTAATTCACTATTGTTCTTGTTAAAACTTTTTGTGAATTTTTTTAGCAGTTTTTGAGTTTTTTATCACCTAAATTTATTTTTGTGGGTTTGTTGAAAGACAAAAAGAAGAAACAATGGAGGGGCAGCTACCACAACGTTTTTTCATTAGAAAAAAATTGTCACAGTAAAATGAATTTGAAAGACAAAAGAAGTATAATTTCTCAGATATATCTGAAGAAGAACAACATGAGTTCATGAATTGTATTGAAAGTTCTGAGGAAGAAGTGGAGGGTGATTTCGACGATGATGATGATGATATTGCAGATCCAAATTATATACCAACTGATATAACTCCGGTAGATGAGCAGTGTATTTCCGAATGCATCGAAGAAATTAATACAGCTGAGTCCCGTGAAACTTTCATGGAAGCAGTTCAATACATTCTATACCGTCGAGTCCATGCTGATAATTCTACTAAGAGTGATGAACCAAAGGAGAAATTATATCAATTACTTCAATTTCGTGAACAGATAGCTGCTGGCCTTGTGGTGGATACACAAAGACGTTCTGTTGGTCGACCATCTTCTCTCAGTCCGTACATCCTGGTACTAGTAGTGTTGGTCAGAAAGATAAACATCCTGTAGCCGATATCAGATACGACAACTACGACCATTTTCCAATATGGCTAGGTAAATCAGGAGGAAGAAAGAAATGTAAATATTGCAAAGACTTTGTAACCCAATGTGTTTGTCAAAAGTGCCACCTACATTTGTGTTGCTCTAGCTCAAAAAATTGTTAATACGATTATCATCATAAATAATGTAGTTTCCTTGTCTGATTATTTATTTGAATAAAAATACATTTAACGAAATATACTGTTTTTTTTTCACTTAAACCGTTTTGTCGTCCTTGAGGACGTCTTAACGTTTTTTTTTACCTGTCGAATCAGCCAATAGGAAATATTTATAACAACTTCATATTCGTCATTGTCATAGCAAGATTAACTAGAAACAAAAATTTATATAGGAAAATATGCACTATTTCAGATTTTCCGGTTAGAGGGTTAATATCAACATTTTATTATATAATATTTTAAAGTGTTGAATCTACAGTTTCTTTTTGGACAATTACTTAAGAACCACCCTGTATAATAGAGTGGTATATATCGAAATAGTGTTTTTTGGACTTAATATTATTTCACTTGGTTATACATGTAAATTCTCAGTATGTTTTATATATGATACATTGAGCAGTGTAGGGTTGAGTTCTGATACACATCTGTATTATTAAATAATGATTATATTAAGGAATGTTATTTCTTTTCTCTGGTGTTTAGTTTTTGATTACCAAATCACATCTAAGGAATACACAACAGGACCTCTAATGTGTTATTATTTTGAATAAGATCATTAGAATGAGATAAAATAATACTATTTCTTTTGAAAGAGTTTTAAAAAATGGCACAGATATTTGTCATTTAGATTATTATTGGAGCATGGAATATGCTGGAAATGAGTTTTAAGTCACAGTTGAAGAAAATAATTGATCCAAAATAAGAAAATGTATGAGTTCCATCTTATGTGCCAAAGACAAAAGGCTTCGAAAATATAGAAGAAATACAAAAATTATTTTAGATTCTCTTAAATATTTTCTGATGACTGAATTTTTGTTTGTCTATGTAAGGTTTAAAAAAATTGGAATGTCTCGTCTAGTGCTTAGAGGTTCTGGTCTAGACTTCCTAATTTTTAAAAGGTACACCTGTAAAAAATTTCTTCTGATAAAATGTCCTAGTGTCATTGTTGCTAATGCAGATGATTGAGTACTTCAGTGTTTCAAAATGGGTCTAGAGATAAATAGTATATCCCAAGTCAAAATGTGTAATATGTAAGTTATGATCGAAGCTCTAAAAAAATTGTTTTTTATAATACAATGTTTGTGCTATATACAACAGTTGCTCAATGTCCTGAACCCTTCAGAATCAGCAAAATTGTACTCTTAGTCTTTGTATAATCATCTCTGAGCATAGTGAGGTCTATTGAGGACATAAGTGGTCTATAATGTTGGGGCAATATTTTATATTCAACCTATGTAGAAATGTAATAATGTTCAGTGGTATAACCAATGCAAAATTTTGACTTGGGTTTTAATATAAGGTTGTTTTCGTCATTATTGTCATAAATTGTGGTGTCTGAAAATTTGTTGAGGTTGTTTTTTGTCATTAATACTGCCCATTAAACATTTTGAAACACTAAAAGAAAGTCTGTAAGTTATATCAAGTATATTTTTAACCCTTGTGATTTATTCCACAGCTTGAATACAATGTTGATGAGAAAAAGTTGCGAGATGCCTTTAAATTGGCAGGTAGAATAGTAAATATTGATCTTCCTGTTGACAAAGAAGGTCGTATTAGAGGTTTTGCTGTCATTGAGTATGATCACCCGGTCGAGGCTGTACAGGCCATTTCAATGTTCAATCATCAATCTTTCTTTGATCGTACATTGGCAGTGAGAATGGACAGGGCAAATGATAATATCAAATTGCCTGAGGGTTTAAGGTCCATCGGAATGGGTCTAGGACCCAATGGAGAACCTTTGAAGTGTGTCGCTCATAATCTTGCTAATCAGTCTAATTCATCGACTAATGGACTTTTGGGAGCAGTTCCAAATAATACTTTGCAACAATTGAGTAGTTTGACAGGTATGTAAGTCTTAATAATTTTGTTTAATGAGGTGGGGAATTTCTAGTTGCTAGTTTACAAAATAGATGTTTTGTTAGGAAAATAGAAAGAGTTAAATATAGTTTGTAAGAAATCAAAAGGTAGTTTGTTCGTAATGGAAACATGTATTTTTTGGAATAAAATATGTATCTGCAACAAGGACTTTAAAATATTAGCTACCTTGTGTGATCATGGTAAACAGTGGTATTTTTAATAGTTTTTAGGCTTTGTCCAGTATAGAAACAAATGTTGATATAAAATAATACACTATATAATTTGAAAAATCTATATTTATCTCAATGAGCAACAATTTTGTGAGCAACCGTTTTGGACATTGCATTTAGAAAGCTTTAATACTATTCAGAGATCTCCCACTCATTAACAATATTCACCATATTTTTGTTTCTCCATATTTTTTGCTGTTATAGCTGTATTATCAGCTTTTCTGAGAATATTAATAGGAAAAATCATTTATTTCTTTACTCTTTTCCACTTTGTTGTGCAAGCTAAAATATTTTTTCTACGTAAGTATTAAACAAAAGTAGAGATATAATGTAACATTTTTCAGACTTTTTTTTTCAACCAATAACACTTATTCTTTTTTAATACTGTTTTATAGATTTGCTGATGTATTAGGCATTGTTCTTCACAGCTACTGATTTCAGCCTATATGCTAGTTTCCGTTTTACATGTAAAACAATAAGAGCTCAAGGATTTCACATTAACACCATCTGTTTCAGCCACAATTTTTTAAACTAGAAGAAACATGTGGTCAACCAAGCAATATCACATAACTCATGTTCTTTAACTTTACTATGCGAGTAATAACAAAACTACTTTGTTGAACTGCTACTAAGCTATATTTGCTTTACACTTTAATTAACTGATAAGGCCCCTACTCTTGTGATATTACCTATGGACATTATTGCAAGTGGAATCAACTTTTTTATAAAAAAATTTTTGGTTTAGTATATTTGTTCATGTTAATGTTAAAAAGGGATAAGATCTTTCCTCCGAAAATCAGCAATTGTAGGTTTTATTTATACATGTAAATTAACAAAAAAAAAAATTTTAACATTTTCTTTTAAAGAATACATTGCTCCTCAGAGTTCCCATTGCCAACTAACTAGTCTTTGCAATAGTTTTATTAAGTTTTGTACTTGTTTTGGTCAAATTGTTTAAGAATCTTTTATTAAATATTATGGGGTAATAGTCTGTATATAATACCTATACTTCTAATAGTTAAAATGGATATTTTAGTTGAAATGAGCAACTGGGGCTTTTCATTTGATGTTAGAAAAGATATAGATAGTTATATAAGTAAAGGGGTTTTTGAAATTTGACAGTAAATTTGGTGATGCCATATTATTGAAAGTCAAATTGGTCTTTTGCTTACTGTTTGAAATTATGGATTTATGTAGCATACAACACATGAAAATACATACTGAAAAGACTATTTGTAGTGTGGTTGATATATTAGAATTATCTGGCTCAATAGACAATCAATCAACACCTTGTGTAGGCGAAATATAAGATCTGTAAAAAACGTCACCACTGTCCCTAAGAATGTAGGAGAATCTGAGGCAATCAATTTCATATTGCTCGCAAAAACTCATCATTTCACAGACATCAAAACATCTTCAATGACAAAGCTCATTTAGGTCAACAAACAGAATTGTCAAATTTGTTATGATATTAATCTAGATGAGATAGAAGAATGCAGATATCAATGTGGTCATCTCAGGTGTAGGTGATGTGAGCTGACCAAAGATCCTGCAAATATTCCATATAAAAACATTGATTTAGATGATATCTCACACACTTTACACTTTAGGAAGCATTTGATTAAATAAAGATGAAGTAAGTTTTTTGAAGAAATCAGCTAAGTCTTAATTCTTTTCAGCTAATGTGATGTGTACTTAGGTGAAGCTTGTGTAGAAAATGGTAGTCTGGTTTGCATTTTGTGTAGTATGCAGTCTATTATTATTTACATATAAAAAAAGATGTATATTTTTATATAAAAAAGAATTCCACTATATTTTGTTTTTATCAAGATTATTTCTGAGTTTGGTGTTTTGTTTTGAAGTTTTCATTTTTTATGCTGTAGTAAAATTGGGCATATTTTGAAGAAATTCATCTGTTTTGTGGTCTGATTTAATAAAATCATATAAGATATAAGGAATCACACATACTACAAATATTTTGGTCTTTTATAGCGTAATATCAAGTATAAAAGATTTTGATTGCTAAATTTTAACCTTCACAAATCAGGGTGAGAAGCTTGGCTGTATATTAGATGATTTGAATTTTCGTAAATTTTTATTTAATTTGGTTGTCTAGTTTGTGAAGTTAATAATAATAAAATACAAACAATTTTTCCATTTTTTTCTGCTGCTATATTGACAACTGTGATCAGGCCTGATCAGGAATTTTTCATAGATTCCTGGGTTTTGCCTTTCAGTTAAAAAAGAATTTATCATAAAATCATTATCGTAGTGCTACAATGCTTACAGGGCATCAACCTTCTCAAGCCTTGTGTCCCTTTTTTCTCTACAGTTTTTGCAATATTTTGGTGTTACTACTTTCAAACATTGTGCAGTAACATGCTTAGCTGAAATGGATTTCAAATTTTAACAGTACAAATGGTTTATAGTTATTTGTTTTTTACTATGGCACCCATTAGAATATTTTTGGATTCGAAGATTAGCTAGACTGTAGAAAATGTTTTCAGGTGGTCTGCATACATATGTGATATGGAAATTTATTTCCCTTTCTTATTCAAATACACAATATTTGTAGGTCATCTCACAGAAAGTCTCTTTTATCCTGAAAATGTTTTAGTTCTGCCTTTATAGCTATAAAAATTTAAGGCTGATAAAACAGGAGTTTACTTAATACTTAACAGTGCAGTCATTATCATATTAAACGAGACTTAAGTTTGCAGTGTTTGCAAAATATTCATTTCTTTGGTTTCCAAAACAAACCTAGTCATTTCAGTAAAAATTTATCCACTATCTGCCATAGTTATCCACTAACTGCACCTCACCCAGATTAATAAAGGTTAAAATATGGTTAAATGTTATCTGGAACGTGAATTTGATTTACTTTTTCATACAGGTTTGAGCGCTCTGAATGCTCTTCAGTCTGCCAACCTTGGCAGTCTATTAGGAAACAACTTAGGATCTAACGATCTCAGCTCATTGGTTTCAAGCTCACTTGGTGGTGGAGGCGGAGGAGGTGGCAACCCACAACCATTTGGTAATAATTCAAGTTCAAATTTCAACTCCCAGCCTTCAAACTATAACTCACAGTCTTCGAACTTGGGATCTGGAAATTCTTATCATAGAGGTGGAGGAGGTGAGTATTTTTGTTATTTTTAAAAGAGATGTAAATAATGAAATTTAGACACTTTATTCAGTATTTAATTCTAGTTAATTTCAAAACATAATACAGTAAAACTTCCCTTATTTGGCACTTTCTTAAAGTATCATGTTGATAAATATTTCCAGCTCTTCATTGAAAATTTAAATATTGAATTAATCTTGCCATCCATTTTGCTAGTTTTTCCGATCCCTTGTCATTTTTTTTTTTTTTTTTTTTTAATTTGATAACTAGTTAAAAAAAAACATTTTTGTTGAGTATTGTGGCTATTTAGCCACAGCTGTAGCAATTTATTTTTTATTTTGTCTATTCTTTTTTCTTGACCTGTTTAAATTACTAGAAGCTTTTAATTTCAATCAAGATCTTGCTGTTTGTTTTTGCTAGTTTAGATTTTCTTTATTTTCAGACTGGAAGTGATAAGCTACTGAGAAGAAAATAATATTATCTTAATCTTAACTGTAATGTATGTTTCTAATTTTATGGAATAAATTGATTTTTAAGTCTTAGCTGTCTGGTCATTCATACTGCAGTTCATGAAAGTGTTCCTAATAAATTTCATTCCTCTTAGTACACAAAATAATCCAGGAAATTTGATCCACTAGCTCATGAGGATATCAAAGAGTTTGTTGGGTGTGTAGTTCAACTCGTTAATTATAAGTTTCTGCTGCTGTGAATATTTATCTCTTACAACTTGCCGTTTCATGGAACAGCTTCATACATGATATTCAGACTCAACTTCATCTTAAATAATGAGTAAAGGCTGAGATATTAAACATTCTCGTGTTCTAAATTAGGTAGTTGACCTGGAAAATATAAAACAAATTCACAAAATGGTATTGCCGATTATAAATTGAAGTTGTGTGTGATAAAGCAAAGATGAAAATAAAAGGCAATGAATTTTTTCATGAATATCTAAATACAAGCACCAAAGCATATTTTATGCAATGATACCTACCTCAGGACTGAAAACCATTACACATAACACATTATATTTATTGCATGCTCTTAGCAGAAGAACATAATATATATCCATAATAAATTTTTGTGTAAAAATGGTATATGAAAAAAAAATGGTATTTTCAAATAGTGAAAAAGGCATTAGAATTTACAAATTGTTTAATATTAAAATATTTTATCTGCGTTAAAAAAAATTGGGATGTTATTTTCCAATTTTGGAATGAACACTGTCTAATTGTTAATTTTTTAAATAAATCTTCCAATGTGCTTTTTATTCATATTCTCCATCATTTTTGGTATGATTTAGCTGGTGAATATCGATTGGTATGTTAGAAATACCTCAATGCATTTAATTCAAAGGTTTTATTTACATCTATTATTTTTTCTCAAAATTTTCAATTCTTAATGTAAAAAATTCGTTTATAATTTTTATTTTTGATTAGATTTTCTTAATTTTTGGATATCAATCAACAGCTTTTAATCTTAAAACTAATCGGTATTGTTTTCTTTTTTATTATCAACTGTGCAACTTTTCATTATTACGGAGTTTTGTGCTTTCTGTATGTTTTTAATTCCACCATTAACAGCATTTTACTTTATCGTTCTCTATCTTAAGCAGGAGTGTTGGATTTTGGTTTTTAAGTGAAAGTTCCTTCTATTTTGTTTTGGCTGTGACATTGAACCTTTGTTTTTGGTCAAAGATGCTGAACTAACAGAACAGGTGAAATATTTTTCAGTCGATATATATGCTAGATACATAATATTAAACGTTTTGTTGTAGATGATTACCCAAGTGGAGGAAATAGCTTTGGTGGGGGAAATTTCGGAAACGGAAATAACGATGGTTATAATAGCTCAACTAGTCTGTCAGGCAGAGGTTTCCAAAATTCCGGCAACATTTCCACATACACCAGCGACAGATTATCATTTGTTGATAATACAAACAAGGCTTTCTCCAAAAAAGTTTTAATTTCAAATGTAAGTATTTCCTACAGCATCCTCCTTTCCCATATTTTCCTATATCTCCAATTGCTCTCCTGTATAGTGAAGTCCACTTTTTTCCTCCAAGATGGCGGAAGTATTCCTCTTTTCTTAAAGTCTTTCGGTATATGCGTTAGTAATTTTCTTTGGCCTTTGTTAATTAATTATAATAATAATAATAATTAATCATAATAATTAATTCTCATGAAATGTCCAAACTGTTATCAAGTTGTGTTTCTACCATTGTTGTATTTACTTCTGTATTTGTTTGGCGTAATGAGTTTAGCATTGGAATTATCTGTCTTAATTCCGTCTACAAAACTGTTTTCATTTTTAATTTCTGTTAAATTTACACTATAATTAACGTTTGGTGTGCATGTACAAAACATTTTGGTTTATGGGATTGATGTTATCATATTCCTGTTGATTCCTACGAGTTACCTTTGATGTTTTTATAGATATTTGAGATTTTTTCATTAATTTTAGCTGCCCTCTACATTGAGTTACAACCTGCTTAATGAAAAATGTCAAGAATTTGGTGACGTTCAAGGATTTGACACAAAAGGACAAGGCTCAGTGCTATTGACTTATGCATCAGATTGGCAAGCCGAAAAAGCTATCAGTATCCTTTTTTAATCTAAAATTTCTCTTACAGCTATTCAATTATATTAAAAACGGTCATGGTAAATTGACGAATGTTACGCAAATATTTGACAGTGTTGTGACATTTCCAGCAGGATGAAAAGGTGTAAAAAATTCATCGGAAAATTGATTTTGGTAGTTTAATTACAAGGAAATAGTAATTCCAACAAAAGATGTCCTAAGAATACTGAAAAAGAATTTTTCACAATTTTGTTTACAATTTTTATTTCAAGCCTATAATGAATTTTCCTTAACGAAATGTTTAGAAAATCTTGATAAAGCTAGAATTGACGGAAGGATGATCGACGCCAGATTGTACTTCTAAATTAGAACATTAAGATCTTTTTTTACATTATGTATTTTAATTATGTTTAGTTTTGAGGTGCCTTGGTACAAATATTCATTGTGTAATTCATTCAGTTATGTGTGTTTGACATTGAAAATAAAGAACTAGTTTTAAAGTGGTTTTTATTTAACTTATAAATGTATCAAATCTGAAGTTTTTTGACTTTGTCACGCGGTTTGGATCTTCCAATTTTTTATTTGGTGTTAATAGAGCATTGGAAGATCGAATTTTCGTCTTTTTTTTTTCTAATATTTTATTTTCTTCGCCATACCTGGTATAAAGTTTTTTTGTGCGTTATCTACGGTTTACTGCGCTTCTGAACGTTTACCGTCTCCTACTTAGATGTATCTGAAATGAAAAAGCATTATACTAGTTCATGAGACGTATCAGTGTTTGGGCCATTAAAAGTATTTATCGTCAACACAAAGATGCATGGATGTGTAATAATTATTGCAAAACTATGCCATTTTATGATATCCCAGGAATAGTTTGAATCACTTTACCCCTAACATTGACTGCCAACATTTCAAATTGGTTCAAAAACGAAATTGTTTCCATTAAACCAGGGAGTACTTAAGGACTCTTGGTTTTGCTCTGTTTTGTCACAGAGAGACCAATTCAGTATAATCAACCGCCAGCTTGTGTCTATGGAGAACTCATTTCTCTCTCCCTTTATCATCATTCAATGATCCATAATTATCTTATACAGCTAAGTTTCGTAAACTTAAATAAATGTATTGTTTTCTCCAGAAGTTGTCGGGTCTTTACCCAAAGCTATTCAAGAGACATTAACAGACCTCAGAAAAGGAAGCAATGTCCTTTGAATGCAAAACAAGTGATTTCACTCAAAAAAATTCATCCAAAGAAACAAGAAAAACATTTTAGTAGAGGAAAGTTCGCGTTCTGAAAAGGAATGCTTTTGTTTAGTTTGCTGTGAGTCATAGAGTTCATATAAGACTCATGGTCCATCGCTTCTAGTAAGGCGATGATCTCACTCAGTTCTCTTATTATATCTTATTTGTTTGTCTGGGTTCAAAACTACCTTTTCTATGGTGGTGTCTAATCTCTGGAGTGTCACTGTTGGTAATGCTTTCTGATTGTGCCCTGAGTTCGGTTTTAATGTATCTTTGTGGATGTCTTGGTCGCCTGACCATTTGTTGGCTGTGAATTGTGTCACAAACTTCGAAGGTTGCAGTGAGAGCCTTCAAATGTTTATCAGGGATTGGTACAAACCGATAGGTAAAGGCGCAACAATTGGGCCGGTTTTGAAGCCGCAACAATTTGGAATGATTTCTGAGACCAAAACCAATTACTCCGCACTTCGAAGCCATTCCACAGTCAAGGAATGGAGATCTAATAAGAGGTAAGGTGAGATAGTGGCTTAAGTAAATTCTAGAGGTTTTGACCGGCCTCAATGAAACAGATAGGCAACTTAATATGGTATGGATTTTACACATATATTCACAAATATAATGGAGCCTGCAGTTGAGCGAATGACGTCTCAACTGCAAAGCTGTGCTATTTCATTATTTGTTAGTATATATTATAGTATTTGTTTATAGATTGTTTTTGTAGCAAAATCTCCAAATTTCATTCGGTAATTAAGTCACTGTTATCATTAATGAATAAAGACACAAAATCATTTTTTAGTATACTAATTTTGCTTCGGAACAATATTTGGTATTAATTTGGGTTTTTAAAGATAACATTCAAGAACGAGATTTTTATATATAAATTTATGGTTGAGTTTACCGAAAGTACAAGCTGAATATAGCCGCAAATCAAAAATATTTCGGTTGGCATATGTTGTATGCTTCAAATATAAAGAGAGAAAGGTTTTAAAAAGTACATTGTGATTATACTATTAAATTCTGCAATTTTTAATTGATATGAAACAATAACCAATAAATATTTGTCTCTTTTGAGATTAATTGCAAACAATGACGTATAATATATAGACTACGCAGTCCCCTATTCTCGCAATAGAATCGAGCATGATACTATACCCGGTTCGCTATTCCCAGTCCGAACTGTCTAGTGATTTTAGTAATTTTTTTTTTTTTCGAAGTTAGTAACTTTTTGACAGACTCGAAGTGGCTGGAAAATACTATACAACCAAGCATACGTGCTCTTAGTCAATATTAATGTAAATAAAATAGAACTTTGCCGACAATCAATATTTATTTATACCGTATAATGTATTGATAACAAATAATAACATTATTTATTGTACAAAATAAAAAAGTGGGAATAAATTCTACAAAATTAAGAAGTCAAAGTGAGGTTAAATAAGAATAAGACACAGCAAGTTCCTTATGTATTTACAACAATTACATAATTCGATAAATACATTTTAATGATCAACTTACCTCAACAGGGTTTTCATTCGGTAAAAAAAATGGTAGGCATTTTGAATAAACCTTTGTGCAGTTACCTTGTAATCTAGGAACAGCATCCTTACTAATCTAAAAATATTAACTTTAAAAAAAACTTTTTAAAAAACATTTTATCATATTTATTAAGAAAAACTTACCAACGCATTAGCTGATGGAACAAATGGAAAACTTTGACTATCCATAATAATAAAATTTTAAATATAACTAACTAATTAACTGAATAGAATTAAACAAAGATAATAAAACAATAAAACTATATTAAATTAAATAAACAACGCGAATAATACAAATATTTACTACAATATTTTAAATTGTAACAATTCAAATATTATATTTTAAATATACAGCGAAAATTTGATGGGTTTAGTATACACTTCCACTATTTAGAATAATTCTTCTTTTTTTCAAAGAAAGAGGTCTGCAATAGTAGTATACTTGAGCTAGTTATACTGAGAAGTAGGAATTGTTGTGTTGTAGGTTTCCTACAATGAGTCTGTCAAAATATGCCCTAGCTAAGCGAATAGACAATATAAACTACCTGATAAACGCACGCGATCAGTCGTGTGACGTCACTTGGCGACAAATGTCACCAGAAATGTTCTGTGTTGTATGGAGTTTTGTCAGATTTAGTCAAGGTTAGTAGATATTTAAGTATCTACTAACCTTGAGATTTAGTTTTGTTTTATCGTTTATTTTGTACGTTGACATCGGTTTACTGGGTAAACCATCTTTCCGAAGGAGGTTTACTTAAACCATATCCAGATTTTCTAATTAAATGTAATGAACTGGACCATATTTTTAACAATTTTAACAAAGGGTCATTAAAATTAACCAAGAATTATTTAAAATCGCTAATGGATTTAGCTGTGTTCAGATGTAATGTTAGTAAAGGTGTAAATTATATTTTAAAATTAGAAAATTGAATAGATATATTAAAGAAACATCCAGAGTTAAGAAGAAGAAAATATTAAAAATTGTAAAATAAATTGTTAAATAAACTTATTACGCAAATACGTAAATTATTACAGTGTATTTTATTTTATCAGTTGTATTAAATTTTTATTTTAATAAATCAATCCATTGTATATAAATTTCCATTTGCAAAAGGATGTTTAGTTCTTACTCTTTTATATAATTTTAGTTTACATTGCTAGGCTAACAGAGATGTATATATAACATATTTTTAAGATTTAATTGCAGATATTTTACTTAACATCCCTTAATATTCTAAATATTTAAATAAAAACCCCTTTCTTTCCATATATGTTTTACCGACTGTGATGATAAAAGGTTGGTGATAAAAGTGACTTTTATCACCAATTGACGTCATGCGCGTCGATGTACAAAATTCGATTGCGAAGTGGGTTTATCTTGGAGTATCATGAGAATCGAGTGTCCGAAAGATCTCGGCTCAAGGTTGAAGGTATGTTTATCAGAACAGCGGCGTGCTCATTTATATTTTAATGATAATAATTATTTTTTTAATTAAAATTAAATATTTATGATTTCTTTTTGTTCCCGTTTATAAGAGAAATAATTATTTTGATAAAATAATATGGCATTGTACTAAAATAGTAAGTAAATAACTCTCAACAATTTAAAATAAAATTTGCTTGTCACACAAAATGGAGAAAATGTTTTCATACGGCGATGATGTTTTCAAACACAAGATCAACTTCGTGATGCTTCGTAAGAAATCATAAACTTCGTGCATCTTCGTATCAAAACAATAACAAAGGTATTCAAGTTTTGGACACTTTTTAAAGCGTTCACCGAGTCTATATATTATACGTCATTGATTGCAAACACCTGGACCTGTTGTAATATGGCAACTGCTGATTTAACTATTGCCAAATCTATCCCCTAATCTATCAAAGGGTAATTGCTAAAAAAATTTCTAATAATTAACTGCAATGAATCTCCATAGAAACAAATATTTACTCAGTCTTGGTTTATATAAATAAAAAATTGCAGAATTCATAACACAAAATAAACAAAATGTGCTTTTCTAAAGTAAAATCTTTTTATATTTGAAGCATACAGCATCTACATTATAAAAACATGCCAACTCTGCTATACCAAAATTTTTTGTTCCATGTTTGACATTTGCGACTATAATCAGCTTGTACTTTCGGTCTACTCAATGACGTATAATATATAGACTCGGTGAACGCTTTAAAAAGTGTCCAAAACATGAATACCTTTGTTATTGTTTATTGTTTTGATACGAAGATGCACGAAGTTCATGATTTCTTACGAAGCATCACGAAGTTGATCTTGTGTCTTGTGTTTGAAAACATCATGGACGTACTCCATTTTGTGTGACAAGCAAATTTTATTTTAAATTGTTGAGAGTTATTTACTTACTATTTTAGTAAAATGCCATACTATTTTATCAAAATAATTATTTCTCTTATAGACGGGAACAAAAAGAAATCATAAATATTTAATTTTAATTAAAAAAATAATTATTGTCATTAACATATAAATGAGCACGCCGCTGTTTTGATAAACATACCTTCAACCTTGAGCCGAGATCTTTCGGACACTTGATTCTATAGCGAGAATAGGGGACTGCGTAGTCTATATATTATACGTCATTGGGTCTACTCAACCAAATTTATTTATATTATGCCACTAGAAGTTGATGTTTTAATTATCAATATAAGACCACTTTCATTGAAAAAAAAACAAGACTAACCATGAATAATGCGAGTAAATATTAATTTTTTTCATTAAAAACTTTCTATTTGTAAATACTAATTTATAAAATGTCAAAAATAAACTTTTGTTTTAATTAATGCAGGTTTACTTTGTTAATAAACATCTTTTTTGTTTAAATATTGGCTATAATCACGTATGCTTGGTTGTCTACTTTGCAGTCACTGTCAGTTGGTCCAAATTTAACCAACGTAATAAAAATAATCATTAAATTTGACACAGCACATGTACTGTTAATTTAATTGACAGAAAACACATTCTATGAGTGAATACAATTATGGTGAGGTAGATCTGGTAGATTTTAGATTCACGCATGATATAAGGAAACATGGTATGCTCACGCGCATCTATTTTGAACAGCCAATCACGTTTACGACCAAAATCCGCCATTTTGAAGGCGGCAATTCAAATATGTACAAAATTGATATGAAATATCGTAGTTAAATTAAATAAAATAAAATTAATATTATACATTAATCCAATTAATTCATATTTTAAATGATCTGAACAGACTCTTGCTAAAATAATTTTTAAAAAATCGACACAAAACAAAAACACATTTACATCATGATATAAGGAAACAAGGTATGCTCCACAGCCACCTTTACTTCCTGTAAAGGTGGAAGTAAAGGTGGCTGTGTATGCTCACTAGGTGGACTCGTTTTTGCACATTTCTGCGCCGACCAAAATCCACCATCTTTTCAATATGTCACATGTGTGTAGGGATGGTGACCTGATCCCGTACCAGTTACTTTGGAACATGTATTTTATTTATACTTGTGGAACTGATCCCTAACACCAATATTATTATAAAAAACGAGTACGGGTCATGGCCGTATAAATAAAGATCTTTATTTATACGTCCATGGTACGGGTACTGTACTCATAGTAAGTGTAAGTGAGCATACCTGACCTGATCCACAAAAATACTTGGATCAACCACCTCTACATGCGTGACGTCTGCTTTGTTTACTTTTGCATTTTTTAACCTTACTTTGCAATGTATGTAAATGTGTTTTTGTTTTGTTTCGATTTTTTTAAAATTATTTTAGCAAGAGTCTGTTCAGATCATTTTAAATATGAATTAATTGGATTAATGTATAATATTAATTTTATTTTATTTAATTTAACTACGATATTTCGTATCAATTTTGTACATATTTGAATTGCCGCCTTCAAAATGGCGGATTTTGGTCGTAAACGTGATTGGCTGTTCAAAATAGATGCGCGTGAGCATACCATGTTTCCTTATATCATGATTTACATTTAAATTCCAGTACATTGCAAAGTAAGGTTAAAAAATGCAAAAGTAAACAAAGCAGACGTCACGCATGTAGAGGTGGTTGATCCAAGTATTTTTGTGGATCAGGTCAGGTATGCTCACTTACACTTACTATGAGTACAGTACCCGTACCATGGACGTATAAATAAAGATCTTTATTTATACGGCCATGATCCGTACTCGTTTTTTATAATTATATTGGTGTTAGGGATCAGTTCCACAAGTATAAATAAAATACATGTTCCAAAGTAACTGGTACGGGATCAGGTCACCATCCCTACACACATGTGACATATTGAAAAGATGGTGGATTTTGGTCGGCGCAGAAATGTGCAAAAACGAGTCCACTAGTGAGCATACCTTGTTTCTAGTGATACGAAACTATCGATAGTGTCCACTATCGATAGTTATCGATAGGTAAGCGTGCAAACATTGATAATTATCGATAGTTTTCGATAGTCCTTTATTTTGACATATACGCACGCGCAGTATTGCCCAATATACGTCCTTGGAAAATGCAGGCCAAGACCGTTTATTTTGACATAATTTGTCAAATTATGTGAAGAAAAAAGAAGAGCTCTAACTTCACTTCTATTTATCATCACATCACGTGTCACGTGCCACATTTTGTTTGTAACAAATTAACAAAAATGTTTGGTTAGGGTTAGATATAGGATCCAAAAAATATAATTTGTATTTGATCAAGTTTGTTGTTTTGTTTTATTTATTAACAGGAACTCACAAATAAAAGTTTATATCAGACGTATATTCTTAATGTTTTGAGCCAAATCAATTTAAAAAAAGAACATATTTATTGAAGCTCCAGTTATTATACCTTTAAGGAATTTATAAACAACTTTGTTTAACAAAGTGTTTAATAACTATTATTACAATGATCATAGACATACATACAGGATAGATTTCTTTATAACTCATTTATTAAATTCATGACTGTATAGAAATAAATTATTTTTATATACATACCTACCTACCTAATTTCAATAAATTTTTATGCACAAATATGCTACAAACATTGTGCAATAGTTTAAATTTTTTTAAAATTCCGGGTTCAAAAGTAGAGTAAATATTTCATTCAACAGATATCTAACACCAAGTGTATTAACAATATATACAAGTTAACACAATGAAAAAGGTTTAATTTTTGAAGTTTTAATGGTTTATAGATTAATATTTATATATGAATAGTTTTTATTAAAAAACTCATTTTTAAAATGAAACACCAATATCATGTGCTTATAAGAAAATACTTACAATTCGTCACTAATGTATTTATTTATAAATTTATTCAATATCGATTCTTGAAGATATATTTGTGTTTGTACTTTATTAAAGGATCCTTTATTGACATTTGCAATAACTCTAATATGTTTTTTGACAAAATTTATGGAAATATACTGGAGGGGTAATAACAAAATTTTATTAATAAAATATAGTTTATTACTATTTGAGTATAAATTAAAAAATACAAATTATTGGAATAACCAATAATTTTTATTTAAAAAAATTAATTGGTCCACATACTTGGATTTTAGTCGGGATCTGCGATCATTTAAAATGAGCCCTGCTGTACTAAAATTTCTTTCAGACTCGACAGAAGATCCAGGTATGCAATAATATTTCTGAACCAGTTCTTGCATCGGTTCAAATTCTCTTCCATTCACCTACAAAATAACTGAAATCTTTAAAATATCTATGTTTATAATTTACAATATTTACCTTCCAAAATAATAAAGGATCAGTATCTCCAGATAAATTGGGTCTTTCAAGATACTGCCTCTTTTGAATTATGGCATCCGCTTTTACATTTGTTGCTTTGTCCTTATTTTTTTTATCTAAAAAATTAAAAATGACGCTACTCGAACTAGTTACTGTTGATGAGGAACTATTATTTGGGACATTTTCTTCTTGAGTATTTTTTCTATTCCCTGAAATAATGGCTGCCATTTCCTCTTCCAACAGATTGGCTGCTTGATTGGCATTTTCAGTGGTTCTAAAGCCATCTTTTTTAAACCTGGGGTCCAATAAAGCAGTAATTTTGGGAATTGATCTTGTTTCGAAGTTAAATAACCGCCTTCTAACAGAATCAATTACACCAGTATAGAATTCTTGTCCAATTTCTGTGTTCAATTGTAAAGATGTTAAATAATTGTATATACCAAATGCAAGAGGAACTATTAGTGACACAGTTATATACTTTTCACCTGACACTTTTTCTGTAGCATCCTCAAAAATATAAAGGATTTTCTCCAAATCACCTAATACGCTAAGCTCATCGACAGAAAAGGGACCAGGAGCATTTCGCTGCTTTAGTAATGTATTATTTATAGCATCTGATATTAGTAGTATTCGTTTTATCATATAATAAACACTGTTCCATCTTGTGGGAACCTCTTGTAAGAATTTATATGGTGTTTTTCCCTCATTTGTTGTTCCCTTCCAAAGCTGGTTTTGCTCCTCTATATATTTTTTATATGCAACACAGCTAGACTTAAAATAAGTAACAACTTCTTTGCATTTTTTTAACACATCTGCTGTAATTGGCTTCTTTAGATTATCTTGGACAACCAGATTTAGCGTATGTGAAAAGCATGGTAAATGTTTTTTTCGTAACAGATCACAAGCTTTTATCATATTAGCCGCGTTATCCGTTACGATACATGATACTTTATCAGATATTTTGTATTCGTCTAAAATCTTTCTTATGCAATCTGCTATATTTTCTGATGTGTTATTAGTATCCATTACTTTTGTTTTTAAAACAGCCTTTTTAATTTCCCAGTCTTTGTTTATAAAATGGCACGTTAAACAAATATAGGACTCGTTAGCTGATGAGGTCCAAATATCTGTCGTAAGACCCACATATTTTATTTCGTTTAAAATTGTAGTAAGTTTTTTCACTCCGTCATCATACAAATTTTTCAACACAGTATTTTTTAAAGTGTCAGGTGATGGAAGTACATATCTTGGATCTAATAACTGGACAAATTTTATAAATCCACTATCTTTTACAATAGAAAACGGTTGAAAGTCTGTAGCCAACATCATTGCAAGAGCCTTATCTAATTCTTTTTTTCTTTGAGAGTTAGCATCATACTCTTGTTCTCGTCTAAAAAAGGGGCTTATAGAACGAACATTTGATCTTGCATAATTTTCTTTGCCTATTTCATCTTCACCTAAAAACATTAAAATTATTACTTTAAATAAAACAACCCTGAGATTTAACTACCTGATGTTTCTAATAGTGGCTTATTTAAATTGGGATGAAACCTTTTTAAATGATCAGTTAGGTTCGTTGTATTTCCGCTTGTTTTATACTCTCTGCCACAAGTGCAACACTTAGCAAACTTTTTGTCTAATAAGGACTTTGTAAAGTAGTTCCAAACTAAAGACATTTTTTGTCTCTTCCTTTGAGGAGTTGAACTAACAGAGGTAGAGCTAGAGCCTTGGTCACTTTCTTCGCTTTCTGGTCTATCAGATACTAAAATATAGCAATAATATCTTATTAGCAAAGACAAAATTAAAACAATATTCTCACTTACCATTGCTTTTACGTTTTGTCGAAATTAAAAATTTATCCATAGTAAAACAGTTAAGTCACCTCTTGCAGAATCCTTTCAAGTACGTGGATTGAACAATAAATAGCAAGATATTGTATCCAACAGACACTAACAACAATTAAATAAACTTTATTAATTATCAAAGATTAAGGAATAACGGTAAATGAGTTTAACAGTTAACTTAACCACAATGACATAAACAAATAAACAAAAACAAATAAACACACTTCATACTTGTTTCCGGGCTTTCAAGACCATGACACATGACACTATCGATTATTTTCGATAGTTTAAAATACTATCGATAGTATTCGATAGTTTTGATTTTCGATAATTATCGATAGTGTATCGATAGTTTCGTATCTCTACTTGTTTCCTTATATCATGGATTCACGGCACGGTAGATTGCTAATTGGTAGCAATTGGTAGATTCAGTCAACTTTGGTCACGGAGTGTTGATTTATTACTTAAAGCTAATAAATCTTGACCATAATCACTGACGAAAATTATTAAAAACAGTATTTTTGCGACATCTTGTTTTTGTGGTAACTGCTAAGGTAGGTTTTTTTTAACAAATCTTTCAATTGAATACTTTTTGTTTTCTTAAAAGTCTGTACTAAACAAAAATTATATGAACTATTTATAAAAGAAAAGTTTGCTGAATGAGATAGATCATCTTACCTAATATTTTTTAATTACAATGAAATCTGAGTAAACCGGTTCCTGTTTAAAGGGGAATCCTTTAGTATATGATAGAAATTTTGGTGATTACCTGCATGTTATAATATAGGTAGAGAACATAACTTGGATTTGGATAATGCAAAATCTTGTTTATGCCGGAAAGTTAATTCACTACATGGTAATTCTGTTTTTACACAGATTTCACAGTATAAATAACTAAGATCTGAGATTTTCAATTCTTATTTTGATATTTAAGGTGGAGTATATAAACTCTACATTAAGATTATTAGATAATTTTACAACTTGGGAGAATACAGATAATTTTGTATGATACTTATTAGATTTACTACACATAGTTTTAGCTTATTGCCAAGAATTAACAAATTTGTATTAAAAATTAAGAGAACAAGGAATAAATAAGAAATTTAGACTCTCACAGCTAAATGTAATGATAATAGTATCAAAACATTTTATAAAAGGTTTATATTAATTCACCCTAGACAAATTACAAAAACATGAATTATGAATACATATATAATACCAAATTAATCTTCCAAGACATTAAAAAAACTCCTCACAAACTCACATTATTACTGAGTGTTAGATATTTATTCATTAAAACTTAATTTATTCCATATGACTATATGTAGTATAACTTGAAGCATTTAAGACCTAGGTATTTCGAAAAATTCTAAAAATGTGACAAATAGAATATAAAATGAATAAAAATCGTTATATATCATGGAAACTGATAGTATATTTGTCATAGTGATGACCAGGCTTCGGTAGAGGACCTCTAAAAAAGAAACATTGTTTAATGTTCTTAACACTTTAACTCCCAGGCCATAATTTGAAAAACTGTATGCCAATCCATTATAATTTTTTGATATAAGGGCATGAGGATTAATGTCAATAACAATTAAAACACATTTTTCTTAAAACGTGAACATGATTTTTCAAAAAAATAAGTGTGGTCATATGTGGTACACATGGGCTAGTAAGAAATGCTTAATTAATTTTATTTCAGATAACCCATGTGCACCTTATATGTCCCACAGCACATATATTCAATAAAAGCCATACTAACAACAAGCCATTAATTTTTTTACATAACAATTATATGTCTCAAAAAAACAATCACAACACAAGAAACCAGAGTTCTTTTGTCATTCGACACCTTGTTTTTACCTTCTTTGCATGTTTCATTGCACTATTCCTTCCATATCTGCTAGCATAGTTTTTATGGCACAAACTACATCATCCTCTTGTTTCAATTTCCTGAAGGGTATGTGGTGAATGAGGAGGAACTTCTACATTTATTTTTTTTTACCAGTGATTGTACCAAATTTTCACGAAACTGTGTGATGCTAAAATGTTTGCCTGTAATATGTTGATAAATACATTGACTGTTTACTACTGTGGTGTTTGTAAGCAGTTCAAGTAAAACTGTTCGGTACCACATGACACCCTTACGAATCGGATTTTGGTCGGATATATGATTTTATTGAAATATATTTGACAATACTGGAAGGTTTTTTGACTATACCTCTTTTGGTTACAACATCTATCATTTACGGAACAGATTTCGTGATCAAAAATAACACTTCTCTCTCTTATCTCTCCATTTTCCAACAATAACCTTTGAACTACTCCGAAGTACTTTCATTCCAGTTTTTTATAATTTGCTTTTAACAATTTTTTGAGAATTTAACTTTCTCTTTCCTCGCAGTGTCCCAATTACAAATGTTTTGTTTTTATTTAGCTTGTGAGCCAAAGTAACACTGGTGTAATAGTTATCTATGGCAAGAGTTCGTCCATGATTTAACAATGTTGCCACCCACTCCATAACCACATCCATAGATACACTCTTTTTGATAGGTATAGTCCCTTTTCCACCATACACCTTTACATTATAAGTGTAACCATTCGGAATACATACTTTGAACAATTTTATTTCGTACTTATGTCTTTTGCCAGGTATGTACTGTTGAAATCCTAATCTACCACGGCATTATAGTCTCGTCTACGCAAAGTTTCTCACCTGGAATACATACTTTTTGAAATTGTTTGTTTAGAATTTCAAGTGCTGGACTAATTTTATATAGCTTATCATTTTCAGGAGCAGCTTTGTTATTGGCAACATGTAAGAAATGCATCAGAGTGTCTAATCTGTTACGACTAAACTAGCAGAAATTTCGTTTCTATAACACCTATTTGTACTCCAATAATCTCGAAACCTTGGTTTTTATTTAGTCACATCCATATTATCAAGCAAAAAAATACTTTCATTTCCTCTCGTGTCCTAGCAATCCATTTAGAAATCATGCCATTCTTTGATATGGTGTCATTATGGTAACAGCAAATAGAAGTCAATAGGTAATTTATCTTTCTATTTTGATCTATACGATCAACAGTTCTAAAATTCATAATTTTGTCATCAAATTTAAATTGATTTAACTTATTACTATCAGGATCTTCTCAAATTATTGTATTTTCTGACAAATCTAATGTGGATTCTTCAATTTCAATTTCGGAATTAATATTTTCGTCATTTTCAGACTGATTCACGTCAATTTGAGAATTAGTTTTGTTACTTTTTGCACGTTCCCTGTAGATGTAGATGGTATATTTTCAATTATTTTAATTTTTTTCGAAAACTGGTCACACATGCCGGAAGTCTTTCTTTGAAAAGTGTTCTTATTAGCAACATTTGCAGTTTCCAGATAACTATCTTCACTAGTGACATCACTGGATTGATCAAAATTGTAATGGTTCAACGAATTTTCCGACTCACTATCACTTTCAAAAAATTCGCTCTCTAAAATTCGTCAAGTTCATCTTGACTTAACTTTTGTTTATTTTTCCACGATTTACTCATTTTACATACTATAATAACTTTTATTTTGCAAGCTAATAGTGCGTGTAAATGATACAATGATAGGATAAATATCATAACCTGTATTTACTCAAAAAATATCTGGAGTAACAAACCATCGTCCACAGGCATTCTAGACAACCCGTATGCCACGCCTATTAATGCAAGTCGTCTATATCTGCGGTTATAAGAGGTACACACCGAAATGGAAATGAACAAGGATAAGTTTTGTGCCCATCTGTGGGACACATTGGTTGAACGGAAATCTTACTGGGCCCACGGGTGGTTCACATGGGAGTTAAAGTGTTAAAGAAGAAATTATGTAAATGGTACACATTCAGCACTAGACCACTATATTTGTCTTACCACGTTAAAAACGAAAATAATATTTAATCTTTATTAGTTACCATCTGTCAATGAATAAGGCAGAAATCTCTATAATACAGTTGGAGTTTTTCTAAATATTTTAATTTTTTTAAGGCTTCCACGTGTCTGGAGCTGTATTTTCTATAATTAGTAGTTATTAGTGTTTTTGTCAAGCTTACATGTGTGTGAAACTAATAAATATTTACTTTTTCATAAATTTGCTTGTATCTATTCTTTGCACTTACAATGGATCGCTTTTTCATCAATTGATTTCAATCTTTTTTGGCACATTTTGGTCAATAATTCTTATCAGTTCTTTGTATGTCTAGGTGACTAAATAATTACAGTTTTAAATAGAAACCAATAATTTAAAAACAAATTTCATTTATTGTTTATATGAGTAATACAATATTTTGAAGTTTCAATTATAAAATTTGCTTAAATGGATCAATAGTTTACTATTTTTAAAATTTAACTGATTTTATCAAAATATTGTTGTTAAAGAGAGTGTCAAATTATCAAAGGGTTTTTGCTATTAAGAGGTTCCTCTTTATAGAATTTTCAGTGGTGATGTGACCAAAAATGAGGAGTTTTACTGTATGTTTTTGTATATCTTTATTTATTAATAAATGTGCACTTATAGTGTCATTTAATATATAGCTTTTAGGACAAATTATTTATAATTAATTATGTTAGAAAAAGATAAAACATGGATGAATGCTGGGATGACAATCCTGATCCTTGGGTGGAACCCGCAAATCCAGCTCCCCAAAGTACGCAATATAACACAAATAATTGGTACCAGGAGCGCCCTCAGCAAAATTTCAGAAGGGGTAATCCCAGAGAGCAACGTACTAATTGGAGACAGAGGGAAAGGAAACCTGATGAAAACTCAGAAACTTTAAATGTTGAGTCAAAATATGTGGGAAGAATAATAGGTAAGTTGTTTTTATTTAAAAGTTTTACATTTTTATTTGATTCTTGAAAATAGTGAGCAGTTCAAAGATTCTAACAGTGCCAGTAGTACCCTGCGACCCTGTGTCAAAAGTATAATCGACAACATATAAATAACTATGTCATAAAAATAATTACATTTAAAACAAAAATATGGAATCTGCAAATGATTTAAAGCTAGTTGAATGCTACGCTTAGAATGGGCAAAGACATTCCAATAAAATGTACACCCTCATTGAATCTATTGATAAGTCAAGAAAGAAACATGCCACTGAACCATAAAAACCATAGTTAGTGTTGTAATATGGAGCATCAAACAAGCAAGTATTTTTGGTAACCCTATTAGTTATTTTAAAGGAGAACAGCCCAAGCAGGTCGGGGCAACAAATGTGGCCAGATAACAGTGTAAAAAGAAGTATTACATCTTTCATTATCCTGCGATTTTCCAGAGTATAAAGCTTAAATTGAATTAGAATATCTTCATAACAGTAAGTATGCAAAGGCCTATTCAAATAGTATGCTATAAACCATAGAAATTTGGTAGAAGGGAAACCATACATTAGAGGTTTACTGTGAAGTTGAGCTAACCAATGCATTGTCCACTATCTTTGTCGAATTAATGTACCAATGGACAGATTCAAATGTAGTTATAAGGATCGAATCATTTTTTAATGCCCCTTTGTCCGTTTCTTCTCGATCGACGATGGTAAATACAACAAAATGTTGAAGTTGTGGAGGAAAAATTATGGTTTTATTGGCAGTTACTAATAATTACACTATGGATGTTAATTAGGTAACTATCTATAATAGACTGCTCTAACAAACTAAACTATGAGCTTACAATACAATTTAATCTAAGTCGTAATTGCAACACTTAGGAAGTTCAATTGGAAAATATATTATTCAGCAATTTATTAAGTTGCAGGTAAATTTCGTCTTTTCCTCTTTTTAGTGATCTATTGCAAAGCTGGTAATCAATGATCATTGGAATTCCAGATCTAGAAAATCTAATACAATGACATTTACCTATATTCAAACTCATTCCATTTGCTGTTGACCAATACTGAAGAGTAGCTATTAATACAGTCATTAAATTAAAATTAATACAGTCATTAACACTGTTTCATCATCATCATCCAGCCTCTATTTATCACGTCCACTGCTGGACATAGGCCTCCCTTAAACTCCTCCATTTCTCACGATTTTGTGCTCTTTGTTGCCAATTTTTAGTGATACGCCAGATGTCGTCGGCCCAACGTGTAGGTGGTCTTCCTCTACTGCGTTTGTCTGCTGTTGGCCTCCAATTTGTAATTTTGCTCGTCCATCGTGAATCGTGCATTCTCGCTACATGGCCTGCCCAGTTCCATTTTAGTTCCGCTATGCGTTCCACAACATCAGTAATACTCGTCCTAAACACTGTTTACTCTGCATATAACTTGGAAAAACTAAAATTTGGAAAAATTTGGAAATCCAAACCAATGTCTTTTATAAACAGGTTGAAAATCAAGGGTCTAAGGTGACGTTCCTTGGGGAACATCAGAATGAGCTGAAATGCGATTTGATAAGTGGTACTTAATTTTAACTATCTGACTTCTGTTACTAAGGTAACTTAAGGTCAATAAGGTAAACCATATTGAAAAGTTCATTGTTTCTAATTTCCTGATAATAGCAGCATGATTAATAAATGCTTTATTAAAGTCTGTATAAATAGGATCCAGTTGACTGCGACTCTATATTAAATTAATTATATAATTGTGGAATCGAGCATGTGACCTAAATGACCAATGAGAAGGTCATGTGGTCAATCAATATGGACCATTAGAAAGAGATAGAGGGTTTGCTGTACGTCAGTTTTTTTTTCTGTCGCACTGTGGGAACGAGCTTGATATGTCTATGACTACAACTTATTTTGTACATAACCTCAACTTCTTTACAAGACTGACACAACTCAAAATAATTCATTGTTCTTCACAGGAAGTAATTTATTATCTTATTATGTTTTTTGAGAAAGGATGAAATATCTCAAAATAGTACATTATTTTTAAAATAATATAATATGATAATACTGACTTATTTTTTAATACTGGCATAACTCAAAAAGATGCGGTCTTAAAAGAAGTATGTCCACTTAGCATGATACTTGGGAAACAACTGAGATATGACAATATTGTGCAAATGTCGAATCAACTTTTCAAATAACAATAACGACACTTCTGTCATCTGACGGCCATAGGCATAAACTAACTTTATGACGTTATCACACACAAATCTATAGAATATTTGAAATTTGTTCACTAACATAATCTAGTTTTTACTTTTCTGAGATATAACTGTCTTCTTCTAAGGTAGCGATATATTAATATTATTACATATGTCCAGCAGTGGACACATACATGTTGATGACGACATTACATAGTGTTTTTTGTAGGACGTCAAGGGTCAAAAATAGCATCGCTACAAGAAGAGTCGGGTGCTCGAATACACATCGATAAAAATTCATTTGGTGAGGAAACCGAGATAAAAATTTCTGGAGATTCAGCTGCCATTCAAAAGGCCAAAGAGTTAATAATGGATTTAACAGTGGAGAGAAAAGCAAATTATGAGCAAAATAATAAACCACCAGAAGAACCTAAACAAGAAATGGATCTAGATACCTTCCTAAAACAATGCGAAGACGCAGAACAGGCAGAATGGGCAAAGTACCCCCCAACCGTAAAAAACTTTTACGAAGAACACCCGCAAATATCAAAAATGTCGCAAAAAAGAGGTTGACGAATTTCGCCTATCTAACAACAATACTATGGTGAGCCGTGTATTTAAAACTGAATCGAGTCTACCGGTGCCAAAGCCGTGCATATCGTTTTACTTTGCGTTTCATCAATATCCAGATATATTGGAACTAATAAAAGAAGCCGGATTTACAGAACCTTCGCCAATTCAGTCTCAAGCTTGGCCTGTACTTCTAAGTGGCGAAGATCTTATAGGAATCGCTCAAACTGGAACAGGTATGTACTTTTTATCGTTATTACCATCAAAATTATCTTTATTTTTACGTGTGGTCGGTTTCTCTGGTTCCATTTCTTCATGTCTTTACATCTTAAAATATATCAATACGAAGTTTGCTCGAAAAGTACACGACCTTCATTTATAACTTCGCGCCAAAACGTTTTAGCGCCCTCTGTGGGCTACGAGCGCAATAATTTAGTCTACACGAATACTTGTCGAATAGCGTAGTAACGTATATTGTATATGGCATATAGTAGCGTATAATAGTAGCCCTCTACAATATAGCAACACTAGGGTCTATTGATCCCACCTTAAATTTTTACCTTTACCATGCGAGATGCGCTATGCACCATTACGCAGATGATTTTAAGATTTTGACATTTCTGTTTCTCCTAACCTAACCTGTATACTTTACCGATTAAAAAAGAAGATCAATGGTCATTATATCTTATATCACAATTCTGTGATCGATCATATAACTTGTTACAGAGATATGTAAAGAGAGCTCTCTTACATATCTCTGAACTTGTTATAACCTATAACCATTCACCAATAAAAATTATTCTTGTTTCATCCTTGGTGGGACCGAGGTCGTTTTCTTAGGTTGTTCAACATTTCTATAAATATTTTGAGAACGATTTCAAAACGTCAAACTTTGGTTAGTTAAAAAATGTTATTTTCATTACAAACAAAAAATTGTGGCTAAATCCCATATAAATATAATATTTAAATTAAAAAAGAAGTTTAAAAATGTTTCATTGTAAAAGATTTTGCTATTTAGTAGTGGTAATAAAATGTAAAGAAACACACAAAAAAAACAGTAGAAGCATTCAATGTTTGTCAAAGAAAACAAGAAATAGACTTTTAGAAGAGGAAAGAAAGAATTTTGGAAATTAAGATAATATATTATGAATGATAACATTTTCTTTTAAATGAAGAATTAGTTGAAAATTTTTTATTTATGAGATTTGCCAGTCACCATTTTAATCATAATTTCGATAAGACTACATAAATGAAAGATTATAATTGATTAATTAAAAATGTAGCTTAAATTTAGTAGTTGTCAATTTATTTTTTCTTTGAAATCACAAAACAATTATCCATTTAATTTAAGATATTTCTTGGAGTTCTCCTAACTTGCGTTTTAATACAATCCTTCCTCAAATTTATGGTAACAATAATTAGGTACCTTTGTAAACAAAACCATGAAAATGAAGTGGATGAACACATTATTATTGGATCCAAAACATTATAACTTAACATTAGTCATCAGTTTTATTATTCTTGGTTGTAATTGCATTAGTAAAACTTTGTTATTATTGTGAATAATCTTATCAATATTGATTGACTAGTTTATATATATATACAATATATATATATATATATATATATATATATATATATATATATATATATATATATATATATATATATAATATATTGTTATGCTATTTAAATTGTATTCTATTGCTTATTTAGAAAAGATCCTGTCTATATTTATTAAATGATCTAATCTCCAATTAATCACAATAAATCAGCATTAATTAATTACAATCTCAGGCTATTTAACTTGTACTATTTACCTTTGATCGTGGATTCAAAATATTTTCCAATTGGCTTCCTAATTGGGATAGGTAATATGACCTGAATAAAATACACAGAATTTCAACTGAACTATATGTGAGATGTCCTTTATTTTAATGAAATTTTATATAACAATCAATCCTGTAATATTTGCAATATAATACTTTAAATATATATGAGAAGTTATTTTCTATCATGGACCCAAATGTTATTTTACATTGATTTTTAATATGTGTTATAACTAAGCTCTCTTTATAATTTTTTTCTTTAAATGATCGCAAAATTAACTGTCTCTATTATTTATTCAATTTATTTAATTATTAATTGAAAACCACACTCCTGCTCTAATGAAAATTGACTGACCTTTCGTTCTCTGCCGTTGTAATTCTATGGCCACGCCATAAAAAAAACCTTTCTCTGCTTCTGCTCCTATTGTGGTCCAGATGACGTACACCTTTCTCCTATCTGTCCTTGTATCTGCAACCCAACAACTCGTGTAATTCTATGCAGCCTCCTTTTGAGCGAATCTCCGCGCCTGTTTATAACTTCAAATGTTTCCGGCTTCGTCTGATATTAATATTCTTATACCCTTTGGTTTTTCTATCTCTCTGTACCCCGTTCCTTACACTGATCAGCTTTTACACAGCAAATAAACACACCCGGTAAATTACGTCTTCGGACTTCAAACAAACACAAACCACAAAGCTCCTTCCTTCTTGGGCGACGAAAACTGACTAACTAACTTTTTTCCTCTCTCCTATCTCATAGCCAAAACCACTACCTCCATTGCATTCAAAAATTGACCAATAAAAATCATCCACCTCTGTGACGTATATCGTTACCAACCAATTCTCTTTATAAAACGTCATTCGGGTAATTCCAGAAAACAACATTCTTTAATTATTCTAACTAAATCTATCTGCTTTACAAATATTTCTTACTAATAGCTACAAACGATACCTGTTTCTCAATTCAATGTCTTTTGTTAATAAACTTTTACCGATATAATCTTTCGGGGAGAAAAACCACCGCAAATCCCGGTCTATTGTTTAAACACTGTCTATATACACTTTATTTCCGGGTAAATCCATGCCACAATAACCGACTTATTTAAATTTCTTATCGATAATATTTGAAAGTCTTGTCTCTGAGGCCTAATGAACAATTCGAACAACTTAAAATACATATTGTGTCTTATACAGGATGTTTGAAAATCTATATGCCCGTGTCTTTATGAAATATCAATAATTTTAATTTTTATTTAAGTAATAAAATTTGTATATCGGTTTTTTATTGCTAATGGACATTCAAAAGTACAACAATATATATTATATATATATATATATATATATATAATATTTATATATATATATATATATATATATACATCCCGCTATCATTAGAGCGTCTGTACACTCTCCATGTATAGAGCGTCCGATTTTTAAAAAACAGTAAGAACAGCTTTTTTTCTCCTATACAAGTAATATACTCTATATGAGTAATATGTTTCAAAAATGTTTTGCAAGAAAAAACTGATAATTGTACATTTGATCATCAATGGAGCGTCCATCACATTTCCCGCCAATAAGGCGTCCTAGTGTATATAAAAATCATCCATCTAACCGCCAATAAAGCGTCCCTATATACACTTTGCGTTCAGTTAATAGACGATAGAGCGTCCTGCGATGTTGCCATTATCTTCATTATCTATTATATGTTCGTATATTTTAGCTCCGGCAGAAGTGCGTATTTTAAAAAATGATTATTTATGATATATTATGCGTCAGGTGCGATAACTAAATAAATATTAATACATAATTTATTTTTTTTCTGGCTGAATTTGTAAATAGTATTGAAAAAAAAACTGAAATAGCTCAGAACACTAACGCGTCGAGAGGCGGGGAGTGAATCCGACGATTACTCCGCTACCGCTCTATTTATAGTCGCGGTGACCTGTCGTGTCGGGACGTTTCGGCACACTTCGTGGCGCGAACGTCAAGAAGCGCGCGCTGGCCAATCATGTGGCTGCATCGTGGTAGCGGGACCGGACGGCGGCTCTAGACTGAGATTCCAGATGGGAGACAAGTAGTATCCTTCCTCTCGATTGATATTATGTGAATTTTTTCGGATCTCTAGAGATTCGCGGATTTTCCTGGAATAAAAGAAGGGGCTCTTAGAAATAATATGGGTTTTTTCGAACAATATGGAATGACCGGTTTCTTGGCAGTGTTCTGCAACTGCAGAATGGGAGAAAAGACCTGATCGAATGCATCTTTGATGCATTTGATCATTCCATATTGGTCATTCCCAACCGGTCATTCCATATTGTTCGAAAAAACCCATATTATTTCTAAGAGCCCCTCCTTTTATTCCAGGAAAATCCGCGAATCTCTAGAGATCCGAAAAAATTCACACAATATCAATCGAGAGGAAGGATACTACTTGTCTCCCATCTGGAATCTCAGTCTAGAGCCGCCGTCCGGTCCCGCTACCACGATGCAGCCACATGATTGGCCAGCGCGCGCTTCTTGATGTTCGCGCCACGAAGTGTGCCGAAACGTCCCGACACGTCAGGTCACCGCGACTATAAATAGAGCGGTAGCGGAGTAATCGTGGTTTTCACCTCTGGCTGCGTTGAGTAGTTGAGTTACTGTGACCAAATGCCCAACTTGATAGTTAGTATTCGCCTCTGGTTGCGTTGAGTAACTGAGTTACCGTTGCTAACTACCCATCTTCCTGTCTTTTGTTTCCTTTTCTTTGTTGTCCTGAAGAAGCTACATACAATTGTAGCGAAACGTCGAGATGAACCCACTTTTGGGTCACTCACAAATGACACGGTCCAAACCCGGAAGACGAATAAACTATAATTGTCTATTTGTTTACATAATTCACAATTCAAATCAGTATCTCGATAAAAAATCCAGGTAGTCCAATATATTTCGGTACCTTTTAAAAACTTTCACTACTTAAAACCTACTTAAGTTAACAAAATTTTGAAACTTTAAAACATCTCGTTAAAAAGTATTTTTCTTTTACAAACTATGTACAAGTTTAATGTTGCTAAACTGTGGAAATAATACTGGTTATTATCCAAATTATTACTTATAGAAATCATTTATAGGTTTGCTTTCCTAGTATAATAGACTAGGGAAATGGAGGTTTTTGTGACCATCCAAAGTAACAGATAGCCACCTAGTGTTTCTGGTGTTTTTGGAATCCAATAATAAACCTAATAGGTCGCAACCAAAATTACGCTGCAAAATGAAAGTTATTAACAATTAAGTGCAAAAAACTTCCATTTTCTACTTTTTGGCTCTATTTCAAAATCAAGATAGTTGATATAAAATTTGGAATAAGCAGTTTGAAGTGTATACAAAAACCCTAAAAATGACGGTTTTTAAAATTGAGAATACTT